GTTTCCTTCCTGGTTTTCCTGCATGCCTGTCACCCAGTTGGGTTCTCACAACACAATCCACACAACATAGGGCTGATGCTCTCCATCATCCTGTGATTCTCCACAAGGGATGTTGTCTGGTAAAGACACCAAAGCCTGAGGTGCTCATGTCAAACCAGCCACCTCTTTTCTGTTTTATTTTAAATATCAGGGTTTTTCTGAAATCCTCATCTAAATTTATCCCTGGATTTTAGAGCCCTGATTTTGGATGCTTCTGTACAATGGGCTGTTCTCTCCTTCTGCTTCCAAACTGGAGCACTTTGGGGGGAGCACCCACGAAACACCACATCCCACTCATCTTCTCCCCATTCTCACTAAAATGTTCTTTCCCCCAATCCTTTTGGGAACACCACAGTCCAAAGGTGCACATTTCCCAAAGGTCTTCCGTGCTGGTACCGTTTTCGTCACGTCAGCCCCACCTGGCCACCTTTTTTCCTGCCGTACTCCTGGTGGGACCTTTGAGGGCTTATTTTAAAAACTGGCGATTGCTGGAGCATTATAACACTGTAGTGCTGTGATGCTGTAGAACTGCTGGGGCTCCAATCCTCCTCCAGCCAGCTGGCCAGTGAGGGAAGCCCCCTCCTGAAGAGCCCCCTCCTGTGTCGACATCGTCAGCACCATGGCACCCTGCAGAAGGGACATCATCAAGCTAGGCACGCTGCACGGCGACACTCTAGCAGTCTGACTAAAACTATTAACATCACCATAGTTTTACCAAAATGCTAGACTGTCACTTTGTGATGTGTCCAGTGTGATGACATCACTTCTGCATGACATCATCACACTGACGATGTCACATGCAGAGACCTCGCCCCACCCCCAGAAGGCTCCCTCCCACACCCTGGGCAAGCAGACCCGGCAACCCTGCCATGAGATGACCTTGGGTGGCACGGGAGGGTTAAAACAATGCGGGGGGGGGGATCGCAGCAGATGGTGGGGAAGGTGCTGAAAACTACCACACAGAAGCTCCACTGTCAACACGGATGCCTCTACATCCACAGCAGCAGGGAATGCAAAACGGAGAGTCCCTGTTGTGTGGATGCAGCCTTTGTTCTGAAATGGAACTTAAGGCAGTGGGGATCCTTGGAACTTAAGGCAGTGGAGGGCGGTGTCCAGTGGGGCCCCCCCCGCAGGGCTCAATTCTGGGCCCAGTACTTTTCAATATTTTTATAAATTACCTGGATAAGGGTGTAGAGGGGCTACTCATTAAATTTGCAGATGACACAACATTGGGGGGAGCAGCGAACACACCAGAAGATAGAGGTAGAATTCAGTGAGATCTGAACACACTGGAAGAGTGTGTGGATGTGAACAAGATGCAGTTTAACAAGGATAAGTGCTGAGTTCTATATCTGGGTAACAAAAATGAGGAACATGCATACTGGATGGGGGGTAGACTTCTGGGTAGTGGTGTGTGTGAACAAGATCTTGGGGTATGGGTGGACCGAAAGTTAAATATGAGCAGACAATGTGATGCAGCGACAAAAAGGGCTAATGCAATCTTCGGGTATATCAACAGAGGCATCACATCCAAATCACAAGATATGATAGTTCCACTGTATACTGCCTTGGTCAGGCCACACCTGGAGTATTGTGTGCAGTTCTGGAGGCCTCACTTCCAAAAGGATGTGGGCAGAATGGAGCAGGTGCAGAGGAGAGCGACGAGGAGGATCGGGGGCCTGGAGACCAAGAAGCCCTGCGAGGAAAGGCTGAGGGACTTCTTGGGAACTTGAGGGCACTCAATGAGGTTGAGGGGCAGCAGATTCAGGACAGACAAAAGGTCACATGAAGTCTGGTGAAGAAAAATCTCAAGAACCCTTATAGACACAAAATATGTTCTTTTATTATGAATTTTGCAAAGACACATTTAAGCAACAAAATATACATTTCTGACCCTTCTTTAGAATCTGTTTTATATAATAACAAATACAAGATGCTACCATAGCAATAAATTAAATATACATTATTTACAACAGACATCAACAACCAGGATGGCTACAAAGCATTGCCTGTCAACACATGAGAAAGAAAAGCATTTGATTTTGTCAACAGTTTGTTTTTTAAGTCTTTCTCCCCCCCCACCCCCACTTCCCATACCTTTCCCACAATTTGCTCCTCTTTCAGGGGCACATTCAAAAATGCTGTTTCTTCTCCAGTCGCATGGTAATAAACGGCATCTTTGCAAGTGACAATTTTGTGCCCCTGAATGTCAGAATTGTCCTTCACAGGAGGCAGTGCTACAGTAATTAAAAGAGGCAAAACATTGGGGGGGGGGGGGTTTCCAACAACAAAAAAGAATGCATGCTTTATGTTTTTCCAACCAGTGAAAACAAAATTGTTTCATTACTGAAGAGGAGATGAAACTTTACATTTCAGGGAACAGCTATGCAGAGATTCAACTGCTGAGTTCAAAAGGAAGTTTGGCTTTTTTGTAAGGAAAAGCTTCGGTGTGTTTTCTTCCCCTCCCATAACTCATAAGGCCACCAGATGGGCACCATAGCCAGAAAAGACAAAAGGAAGTACTTTCCCCCCAAAGTGCATAAATAACTTATGGAACACGTGGCCACTGGCTTAGAGCAGTTTGTGTCATAATATGCGATTTTTAAAAACGCTTGTTAAAATATCCATGGCTGTCTGTTTCTCTCTCTGGTTCAGAATGTGTGGCAGGATTCATATCCATGTAGGTTTAATGCAACGTGTACCAAAGCTGTGTAGTTAGCAAAGGGTTCTAAAGGTAAACTCCTGCCCCCAGTGTTTTTCTTCTGAGATAATACCAGCCTCCTTACATTGGAGAGGGGAAGAAATGAGAGCACATAAACCTAGGGAAGGGTTAATGCTAAGGGAGGGAACAGGCCATGATTCACAGAAGAATGGGGGGGGGGAGAGGGAGCAGCGTCACTGAGACAATCCAGCCACTTCAAAGAGTGCAACAAGGAAAGAGACTCTTTCTCACCACGGCCCTGTGGAGTGGGCGAGGGTCATGGTTATGCAGCAAACGTTGTGGCGGAGTGGGGACCTAGTCCAGCACTCTAACCACGACTGCAACATCACTATATTTGATTCTGGACCTGCCCCGTGGTGCACACATCATAACCCCCATGCAATGGGTCCCGATACAGACAAGAATCACTTTCCCACAAACCTGAGAGACCAGGGTTACAGGAAAACTCCAAACGTTAAAAAGGGAAAACTACAAGAACCTGAAAACCGGAGAAGCATTTTATGTGCTTGTACAAATGACGTAAAGGATCTGGGTCATCCCTCCATGAGTTTCTCACAGGTCCCTGCTTGTGGGACCCTCATTATGGTGTCAGGTGAAGGAGTCAACTAGCTGTGAGAAGTCTTTCAGAAAGGCTTTCAGGTTCAGGGGTCTACCAGTGGCTGCGTCAAATAAATAAAACCTGCATGTTCAGAGGCAGTGTACTATCTGAAGAACTCCAGCAGGGAGAGCAAAACATGCTGTGCTCCTGGCCTTTTCAGGAGCCCCTCTCTGGCCATTCTGAAGATACTGGCTGGGTGGACCCTTGGGTGGACCCTGGGTGGATCCAGCAGGACACACATCCCTAGCAGGGCTGCCTGCCCATTATTACGCTGCTATTTTGGCATCCTGTGTGATTCACCCTGCCTCCAGTTACCTGAGACCTGATTTGACCTCCAGTTTCCCATTCCGCTGTGACCACAGCATCGGGGGGGGGGGGAATGCCCTTCTGCCAGCGCCTGTCCTCCTGCAAGAGAATTCTGCTCAGACCCCTGTGGACCAAGAAGGGCGAGATAATTGAATTGTAGCAAACTTCTTGGACAGGTGGAGAAATGGCAAGGATACTATCCGCCAGGAACCATGCAATTGCTGTTGCTAAAGATCTAGGAAAATCCTGACTTCACTACCAGAGAAATCCTAAGGCAGAGAAAAAGAGCACCAATTTTTGGCACCAGAAACATCTCCAAGGAAAGTTTACATTTGGTGTTTACAAAGGAGCTGACTCATCCGTACTGGCTGTTCATCTCTTCCTGTGCTGGGCTCTGCACGCCCACTCGCTCTGTCCTCTGCGAAGCAGCCAAGGACTGCCCGACCGTCTTCCTTCACGCTGGTCCCATCAAGCAAGAGACAGGCAAAGGGTTTTATAGACTCAGTGGCTTCCTTCTGGCCTGGCAGGGAAACAGATCCCTGAGGCTGCCCATCAGACAGGCTTCTAATGGGTGAGCTCCATCCCGCAAGAATGCGGCCAGCCTTGCTGGTGCTTGTTGATGTTGATTAAAGCTTCTGTGGATTTGGTCATGAAGCTGGTGCTCCAGGCCAAACTCGACAGTACACAGGGAACCCTGGGCCCTTGATACCTTGCGGGTCATGAGCAAAAGAACAGGGGTGGGGGTGGAAGGGAACAATCACCTCTTCCCTCTCCGCCACGTTCCTGCTCAAGAGTGGCCACTGCTGCTTGCTTCACCAGCCACGGGAGAGCAGGTGCCACTGACTGCAGGGGGGAGGGCAAGCTGGGAAGAGTTATTTCCGGGGGGGAGCTCTAAGCTGCCCCCTCCCTCCCTTCATTCTCTGGTTTAGCCACCTGCAGCCACTTTCTAATTAAAAAAGAAAGCCTCAAAGATTTGTAAAGTGTTCACATATTTCTCTTGAAATGTCTACTCAGGCCTCATACAACTGATAGTTTTGCTAGCTGATTTGGGTTTGCCCTCCAGCTCAGCGTGAGTAATGATGTATCAAAAACATTTCAGTGTTTAAGCAAACAAAAATAATCCGCCCAGACCCCCAGGGCAGAATGACACAGCCTGGCCCCTTGGCACCCCCGGAGGTGCACCGAGCCCTTCTCCTCCTCCCACCACAGTTTTGGAGCTGGAGACACCCCCCCCCCCGGAGGCGGGGCCTGGCCAAAGGAAGGATGCTACCAAGAAGGTACCTGATGAGAAGCCACAATGCAGGCCTGCAGCCAGGATTTTTTAGTTTGGGGGGGCCTTTTAAAAAGTTGGCCCCACCATAGCTATGAGCCTGCCATAATGGAATACAGGGGAAGAGGGGGGAATGGAAGGTATGTGGGGATTATAACTTTAAAGCTCTATGTGTTAAAATGCATACGGAAAACGGCAGGGAGCCTGCTGCAGAAGCTGGAATGCTGGAGGTGGACTGCTGGATGATTCTGCACTCACCAAAACTAGTTCTCAAGAGCAGCACCAGGTGCCACATGACGTGGTAGCATTGTCTCAAGTTTTACATTAGCATGACAAAAGGGGGCACTTGCATTCTAGGCCATCGAGTACCAGACAGAAGAGAAAGTGGCTCATGACAGCAGCTCGTGACCACAAGAGCCTTCCTCACCCACACCAGGAACACGAGAAGCACAGTGCCTGATGCCTCGAGACAGCCGGCCACAGGACACAGAGCACATGCGTGGATGGACAAAGGAGGGGTGGCCCAAGCGTGGCTGCAACATGACCGAAAACGCGTCCCCAAGCAACGTCCTTCCAGTCAGGCTGGATGAAGAATGGGCCTTAAAACCTGTTTCACTCGTCTCCTCCTGGAGCACATTATCTGGTCGAGGAGCTTTTAGTAAGCTGACAGTTCCGTCTTGGTTGAATGAAGACAGCTGTTTGGGTGAAGGTGGCACAAGACGGGCGTGGCAGCTGTACTGAGGGTAGTGGACTGGCATCCTCATTTGGACAGAATTTCCCTTAAAAACAAATTTGCCAAAAACAAAACCAGAACAGAAATGCCCTGCAAAAAACACAAAAACATTACAGTTAGGGTATCACCCTGATGGGTCTAGGATTGTGCTGAACTTTTATAGGATTTATTTTCTGCAAAAAAAAAGGTGGGGGAGGAGCCTCTAAATGAGGAGCACTGCCTGGAGGGCGGGGGGAGCACCGCCTTCTTCTGAGTGCATCGGCCACAGCTTGGCCAGAAGTGAGGAATAGAATCAGAGAATCATAGCATGTGAGAGTTGGAAGGGACCTTGCAGGTCATCTAGTCCAACCCCCTGCACTCTGCAGGAGCAGAGCCGAAAGATGGCCCTACATACCTACAACATCCCCAAAAGATGGTCATCCAGCCTCCGCTTGAAAACGTCCAGCGAAGGAGCCTCCACCACCTCCCGAGGCAGACTGTTCCACTGCTCAACCACTCTGACAGGAACTTTCTCCTGATATTTAGCCGGTATAGACTCCCTTGTAATTTCCACCCATTAGATCTAGTCTTGCAATCCGGAGCAAGAGAGAATAGATCCGCTCCATCTTCTACATGACAGCCCTTCAGATACTTGGAAGACTGCAATCATGTCCCCTCTAAGCCTTCTCTTTCCCAGGCTAAACAGACCCAACTCTTTCAGCCTTTCCTCATAAGACTTGGACTCCAACCCTCTCACCATCCTGGTTGCCCTCTTCTGGACACGCTCGAGTTTGTCAACATCTTTCCTAAAATGTGGTGCCCAAAACTGGACACAGGACTCCAGGTGAGGCCTGACCATAGCAGAATAGAGCAGAATGACCACCTGTTGGGAGGGCACTCCCAACCTCCTCCCGCCTATGCAGGAAGTTACCCCCATTGCTCAAGGGAAGACAGGGCAAACGGACCCCAACCTTTCCCCGGAGGTTCGGGAGTACTGGCCGATAAACCCCAAAGGGGAGATGGGGCCTCAAAAGGGGGACGACGGGGACGCGGGGGTGATTGGGCCCGGCGACAATATTGTGAGAGAGAGAGAGAGAGAGAAGGGTGGGAAATCAAGAGGTTCTGAGAGTCCAAAGGAGGAACCAGTCTGTTGGTGGAGCCACTTCAAGAGTTGGGTGGTGGGTTCACGCTGTGAGGTAACTGAAGCAAATAAAATGGCCATCAGGTATACCCAGGGAGGAGGGGAGTGTGGAAGCTGCGGGAGAGACAGAGAGGAGTGAAGTAACTTGTACTCGTCTATTAGCCCACATGGCTGAAAGAGAGTCGGTGTAAACTCTCAAACGGCAACTCTGAGGGGAACCCTGGCCAAAGAGCTTCCTGACTATCACACTGGAGCTAACCCACGACCCAAATCTCCCTCCAAGGCAGCGGGAGGCTGACACCACCTCCCGTGATCTGGACACAAGGCTTCTGTGAATGCATCCTAAGATTGCATTCGCTTTCTTCACAGCCACATCACACTGCAGGCTCATGAAGGATCGTGCACCATGGGAGGATTCACCACCTCTGAAGGATTCACGAAGCAGCAAAGAGTTGGTTATAAGTGCTTCTGTAGAAGGAAACCGTAACATTTTAAATCAAGCCCTTGTTCCAGTGGTTCAGAATCAATATCTGGGGTGAGATCCAGGAACCGATTGCTTAGTAACAGAGGCTCAGAATGTCTCTTGATCTTCCTGCTCCTGTGGGAAGAATGCAGTTTGGCTGGAGATCCTGGAGTGTTTTTGTCATCTTCTGGGCATGGAACAGCGGTCACTGCAGGTGTGGAGGGGGAGGAGGTATTTGTGAATTTCCTGCATTGTCAAGGGGGTTGGACTAGATGATCCTTCCAACTCTATGATTCTAAGCCTTATGCATTAATTAATTTGGCCAGTTAACCAACTAGCTCTGGCGGTTCTACTTGATGGCCCCAGTCCCATTCCAGCGGTCTCCCTCCTGGCCACAGGACTCGTTTTCTCACTCTTCTACAGATTCATGAAAAGAACATTCTTTCACACAGAAAACTAACATGTCAGTCCAAAGTTCTGACATAATCTAGGGTTTTTAAAATGTATTTGTTTGTGAGGGAATTATTTTGTCTGTGGAGCATCCAGCCACGTAGGTCAGGCTGATGGGGGGAGGAATGGACTAGGTAAAGTCCTGGGCACTCTGACCCCCCCCCCGGGGCTTTGGGTTGGGTCTCAGTGGACTGGCAGAGGGAATCTTTCCCTGGGGGCCCCCAACAGCTCCGCCTCAAGTAGAGAAGCCCACTTGACTGCCCCCCCAGCGGTCACACTTACTTTTTATAGGTCCGTAGCCCCCCCTGTCCTGCTAGTGCATCTGCAGAGAAGGAAAGGAGAGAAATTGATTTCAGTGGGACTCAAGGACACCGGGCTCATTTCGCATCTGGCCACCCCGCACCATGAGGAAGAAGAAGAAGAAGAAGAAGGGCGCAGCCCTCGCGGTGCCCGGGGGCCTCCTTCCCTGCTTCACGGGGGTTTCTGGCAGCCCTTCCATCGGCAGCTCTCTGCAGGCATAATCAGGGCTTGGGTCTCACCTACATTTCCAGGGGTGCGAAGGGGGGGCAATTTTCACTGACTCCTCCCTTCCACAGCAGCTCAAAACAAACCCCCAAATGCTACTGGGGGGGCAGAGAGGAGGGGATTGGTGAACATCGCCTCCTCCTTGCACCTGCGGGATTCTAGGCAGGATCCAGGGCTAGGTCTACCCATCAGTTTGCATGAGAGCTGGCTCGGCTTTGAGTCTTATCCCTGGAAACGATGATGTGTGTGTGTGTGTGTGTGTGTGTGTGTGTATGAATTGCCTTCCAGTCAGGGCCGCCTTCTCCAGCCAAGGGCCTTCAAGGCAAGTGAGGGACGCAGGTCGTTTGCCATCGCCTTCCTCGGCAGAGCCCTCCAAGTACCGACCCTGCTTAGCTTCCGAGATCTGACAAGACCAGGCGATCCCAGGCCACCTCCCCCTCCACTGTGTCTGTCCAGGACGTTCTAACACGCCCCCCCCCATGTCCTCTTGGGAGATCAGGGCAGCCTGCAGGACTTGCGCTTCCTCACCTTATCTTCCCAACAACTCTACCTGGCAGTTTGGCCAGTCCCCCAGGGATCTTTATAGCCAAGGGGTGATTTGGGCCAGCGTCTCCCGGATCTGAGGTGGACACTCCAGCCACTCAACCAGCCTGGCTCCTGGTGCTGAGACCTCAGGCAGCCTTCTGAAGGGCCCTTGGCTGAAGCTAAGCAGGTCTGGATCAGGTCTGCCCCTCCAGGGGAGACCTCCTGAGAACTGACACACATGGCCACCAGTTCCGTTGCAGGAGAGCTTCAGGATCCAAAGGAAGTGTGCGCACTACTACCACAATGCAAGGCTGGGGTGTGTGGGACAGCTTGGTTCTGCAGGCACTTAGTTGCCACGTACTGTGTCTCTCTTCAGTGCAATAAATACTTAGTTTTCCTACCTCACCGGGACTTCACTCGTGTGTTCTTACATCAGGCCTGGGGGCACGCGAACCACCATTTGTGGAAGAGGGGAGAAGGGTTAAAACAGTGTAGGGATGTCATAAGGACAAAGTGTTACAGCAGTAGAAAGTTCCTGGGATATGCTAAATTTTCTGAAAACACGGCAGATTTTGGTGTGGCGGTTGGTGTTTCTGTTGTAGGATTCACCTTCATTTCTGTTTTGTATTTTTTTAAAAAAAATCCGTGCCATACATGCAGATTTTCCACAGCATCGACATATGTGCTCAGATCTATTTACAAACTTCACTAAAAATCCATAATGGTCATCTGTGGTATGAACTCATCGATCAATCAAATACATTTGTTTCTCCTGTTTGTTTGTGGCAGTAAGAGCACAGGGCCTACCTGCATGCACTAGATCCCGGGGGGGGGGGGACAACTTAGATAGACCTGAGCCAAAAATAAACCAGAAATTGGCTGTTTTGGTTTAGCTGAGGGATACCTGAAAGGAATGGATCCAAAAACACTTCCAAATTCCAGGAGTAATGAAAATTTATCTTCCAGAATTTTGGGTGTGTTTCTGGTTTCAGGGCCCAGGAGCCAAAGGGAGGACAGAGGAAACTGGACCACCAAACTGCTTTTTAGCAGCATCTCCTCCCTTTAAACTTTCTCTGGAAAGACCTGCCTTCTGAAATCAGTCTGCCCACATAAAAAATAATAGCATTTTAAAATGTAAGGGGACCAGAGAAGCTGACTAAGAGCTGATCAGGTAAACCTGGTCTCGGCGGCTGGGTCTACAACCCCTGGGGAGTCATGGAGCCATTATGGGGGCAGAGAGGTCAGGTTTACCTATAAGAAATAATGCCCCCCCCGACCTGGACAGCCCAGGTAAGCCTGATCTCATCAGTTCTCGGAAGCGAAGCAGGGCCGACCCTGGCAAGGACTTGGATGGGAGACCTCCAAGGAATACCAGGTCCAGGACGCAGAGGCAGGCCCTCAAGCCACTTCTCTGAATGTCCTTTATGCCCCAGTAAGAGTCACCAGAGGTTGACATGACTTCCAGGCATGTGCACACACACACACAAATGCGGAAGGAAGGAAGGAAGGAAGGAAGGAAGGAAGGAAGGAAGGAAGGAAGGAAGGAAGTTTCTTTTTTCTCTCCCCCCCCTCCCATGCTCGGCTGCTGCTGCTGCTTTGGAGATTGGCCGAAGGGCAGCTGGGGAAGCTTTCCTTTTGTTTTCGATGCCGCCGAAGGCCCGCCCCCCCCCCCCCCCCCCCCCGCTGGCTCCTGCTGCTTCTGGGAGAGGCAGGGGAATGGGGGGGTGACTGATTAAATGTTCCCAAATTTTCAGGACCCAAAAAAGAATGCCTGAAAAAAATCCTGAATGGGTAAGGGATGTCCCCAAAATTTAGGATAACAAAAAGCATGCCAAATCCAAATCTGAAATTAATCCAGAATTTTTGAAACGCACCCCCCTCGATGATCCCAGGATAGGCCCCCTTGCCTGTGCTGGGGATGGACTGTTCTCTCTGTCTGAGGAAGGCTTCTCCTCTCAGCTCCACCACAGACTCCGGAATTCCAGTTGCTCACGGGTCGGTTTGTTTTTCCTGAAGGGGAACCAACGCACTGGAAATCCTCCATTGTCCTGTTTTTCATCCCTACATCTGTACTAAGCATTGTGCACATATGGTTTGGTGATGCTTTCCATGCAGGGCTGTAGCCAGAAACATTTTGGGGGAGGGGCACGTGGGGTGTTATGTGGGGGGGAGGAGGTGAGAGGGAAGAGGCAGGGGGAGGGGGAAGGAGACAGGGAGCTCCCGTGCGGGGCTGTCAGATCTCTCTCTCTCACACACACACACCTTCCAAGCTTCCTCCACCGCGATCCTTCCCCGCACACTGTGGTCAAAGCCTGCCCGGCCCCGGTGCGGTCAGCCCTGGAAGGCCAGGCGTGGCTGCTGGGACGAGCGTGGCAAGGGCCGAGGACAGTGGCCTGCCCTGGTGCCTCCCTGCGGGGGAAGAGGAGCTCTGCTGGTGCAGGCGCAGAGAGGTGCTGGGGCGGGCCGTCCTCCTCGCCTCTTGCCACGCTCGTCCCAGCAGCCACGCCTGGCCAAGGACCCAGCCTGATTCTGAGGGGTTCAGGGAGCAGGAGGAGGAGGAGAGCCCAGCCAGGCTGCCCCTCGGCTGGTGGCAGCAGGAAGCACCTTCTTGCCTACAGCTGCAGCCAAGCGGGAGGGGAGGGAGACCCAGTGAGGCTCTGCCCCTTCCCCCCCCCCGCTCCTGCTCGGCTGCAGCAGGAAGAGCTGGCAAGGCTGCGGTGTAATGGGGGGGGGGAGTCTGGCATCCTCTTGGGGTGGGACTCATCCATGGGGGGCATTGCCCCAAAATGCCTCCCATGGTTACAGGCCTGTTTCCATGCCTGGGATAAATTTCAGACATGCTGCTAGTTAACCTGAAGTGGGAGTACTGGACATTGCAGAAGGAACAATACCAGAATGGAATCAGATAGATCCACTTATTGCATTTATATCTTGCCTTTCTCCCCAACAGGAACCCAAAGTGGGTAACATTGTTCTTCTCTCTGTTTTATTCTCACAACAGCCCTGTGAGGTAGGCTAACCTGAGAGCCACCCATCAAGCTTCCCTGGCAGAGTGGGAATTCGAAATCCGGCCTCCCAGATCCTAGCCCGCTGCTGCCGCCCCCACCATGTGGCACCGGCACTCTCCCCCCCCGAGGCCTCAAAGAGCCCCAGTCAGAACAGGCGATGCTTGGACAGGCGGCGGGACGAAGGGCCTGACTCAGGGGCTCCGTGCAGTGATACTTACGGGGCCAGAACCCGAGTGGCTGAGTTTATCGAAACGAAACTTGAGATTTGACCTCGGAGAATTCCTGCTCTTTATATCTGTTGAAAAGATCCAATCAAAGAACATTTTGTTGTGAGGCAAACCTGGAGAACCACCAATCAGTATGAAGGTGCTCCGTGGAACTAAGAGCTATGCTTGAAGTTTGCTTTGGGTGGGGTGGGAAGGAAAAGAACATCTGAAAGACATGGAATGACAGGTGAAGCAATTGAAAACATAACTGGGAAGGCAAAGACCCTCCTTCAATTTCTATCCAGGGAATGAAAAAGATTTCCCTCTTGTTTTCTCTATATTCCTCCTATGAAGCAAATAATTTTATTTTTAATTACACTCAGAGAATCATAGAAATCATAGAATGTTAGAGTTGGAAGGGAACTTGCAGGTCATCTAGTCCAACCCCCTGCACTCTGCAGGAGCAGAGCCGAAAGAGAGCCCTACAAAATACCCGAAAGATGGTCGTTCAGCCTCCACTTGAAAACGTCCAGCGAAGGAGCATCCACCACCTCCCGAGGCAGTCGGTTCCACTGCTCAACCACTCTTACAGTTAGGAAGTTTCTCCCAATATTTATCCGGTAACGATTCCCTTGTAATTTCCACCCATTAGTTCTAGTCTTGCAATCCGAAGCAAGAGAAAATAGATCTGCTCCATCTTCTACGTGACAGCCCTTCAAATACTTGAAGTCTGCAATCATGTCCCCTCTAAACCTTCTCGCAGGCTAAACAGACCCAACTCTTTCAGCCTTTCCTCACAGGACTTGGATTCCAACCTTCTCACCATCCTGGTTGCCCTCTTCTGGACACACTCGAGCTTGTCAACATCCTTCCTAAAATGTGGTGCCCAAAACTGGACACGGTACTCCAGGTGAGGCCTGACCATAGCAGAATAGAGTGGAAATACCACCTCCTGTGATCTGGACACATTTCAAAAAAATGAAACCAGCTTTATACTACTTACTACAAGAATGATTCTGCATCCCATTTAATACCCTCCAACCCTCCCTTTCAAATTAACCTTTGAAATTTCAGAACCTCTTTAAATGCTGCTTCCAATTAAAAACTAATCAGCCCTTTAAATATCACACCACTATTCCTAGATCCTTACACATATAATTATATCTTTAAGATTATGCATGTGTAGTGTGTTCTACCCATGCATGGTGCCACATGGACACATCAGCAAAATGCCACAGAAGAATTCTGTGTAATCCCACCCAGGTACACAGTCACACTGAGACTGGTAAAATATTGAAAAGAAAGCAGTGCTGACATTGGTCACACACAAGAGATGAGACCCAAATAAATTGAAGAAACTGCTCCAGTTCTGGAATTTCTAAATCGAGAACATTTCTAAAATTAATTCTCATGGCTAGACTGAAATTCAGAAGGAGTGGGACTCAGGTGAGATTGAAACAACCAAGGAATGGGATTGGAGAAATCCTCTCCATCCACATAATGACGGCCCCTAACAAGTCATCTGGATAATGACTGCCCCTAATTTAGGACTTTCCTCAACCTCAGACTTTCAAGAGCTGCTGCCAGTATGATAATGCCCCTGTATAAATCGATGGGGCAACCTCATTTGGAGTACTGTGTACAATTCTGGTCACCACACCTCAAAAAGGATATTGTAGCATTGGAAAAAGTGCAGAAAAGGGCAACTAGGATGATAAAAGGGTTGGAACACTTTCCCTATGAGGAAAGGTTAAAGCACTTGGGGCTCTTTAGCTTGAAGAAATGACGGCTGAGGGGTGACGTGATCGAGGTTTATAAGTTTATGCATGGGATAGAGCAGGCAGAGAAAGAAGTCCTTTTCTCCCTTTCTCAGAAGACAAGAACTCGTGGGCACTCCATGAAATTGCCGAGCAGTCGGGTTAGAACAGATAAAAGGAAGTCCTTCTTCACCCAAAGAGTGATTAACACATGGAATTCACTGCCACAGGGAGGTGGTGGCAGCTATAAACACAGATGGCTTCAAGAGGGAATGAGATAAACATATGGGACTGAGGTCTATCTGTGGCTATGAGCCACAAGGTATAGGTAGGAACTCTCAGTCTGGGGCAAGTGATGCTCTGTATTCTAGGTGCTTGGGGGGGGACAACAGTGGGAGGGCTTCTTGTGTCCTGGACCTCCGGATTGCACCTGGTATTTTTGGCCACTTGTCAGGATCCACAGCAAAACAACGAAGTACACGCTTCCAGGAAGGTTTTACTTTTATTGAAAAGCTATAGATGCAGTAACATGAACACTGTTAGGAATGGCGGGTTACCTATGCGCATAATAGGATATAATGGCATTCGTATGCACCCCCCACACACACACGTAGTACCCAATTAGATGGGTTCCCGTGCGCGGGCCTTTGGCTGAGAACTAACAGCTGCAGAAGCAGGGAAGGTAAGGAGCTTCCCATGAATTCTAGACACATCAACTCCTCCAGTGGCCTTGAGAGATATGCGTTACAGCTAAGATGCAATTCAGCGCATGGGAAGGAATGCACAGCAATTAGAAACATACACCATACTCTTGGCAACATAGCTGACATGCTGCCCCCTTGGAAATCAGCTCCCCCCCCCAATTCAGAGTTCTCCCAGTCATTCCTGGAGGTCTCTCGGTTTACCCGGGAACTCCCAGTGGAATCTGCGGATCAATTGAGGGGCCCGAATATCCCCTACTTCCACCCATTTGAGGTGCTGGGGTCCAAAGTCTTTCCATTCCACCAAATAAAACAGTTTTCCCCGTCTGCGCTTAGAATCCAAAATTTTAGAAATTTTGTAGTGTTCCTCGCCCTCGATCAAAACAGGCGGTGGAACCGGTTGTTCTCGATGCCAAGGACAGGACCCAGTATCCTTCTTCAGGAGGCTGAAATGAAATACAGAATGCAAGTTCCTCAGGTTTTTAGGCAATTCCACATCAACCACAGCCTCATTGATCACTCTGCGCACTTTAAACGGCCCAATGTACTTTCACCCCAGTTTTCTGCTAGGGCGCAACATTTGGATGTTCTTAGTAGATACATAAACAGAGTCCCCAGGCTGCAGAGCCCAACCCTCCACCCTTCTCTTGTCAGCCTGTGTCTTGTAAGCATCCTTGGCCGCATCCAAGGATTTGCACAAAACGGGACAAGACTCCCCACCACAGCCCCGCCTCCCCAGGACCCAAGTCAAGTCCTCCATCCAGAAAGGGAACCGGCGGGCTGTCATATCCATAGAGAGCTTTAAACAGGGACATCCCCGTTGACGCGTGGCAAGTGTTATTGTAGCAATATTCAGCAAGGGGCAACAAATCATTCCAATCGTCTTGTTGATAGTTCGCAAAGCATCGAAGGTACTGCTCCAAGGTTTGATTAACCCTTTCCATTTGCCCGTCAGTCTCTGGGTGGTAAGCACTACTCAAACCCCTTTCCACCCCCATTAGCTTTATTAATTCACCCCAAAACTTAGAAACGAACTGCGTGCCCCGGTTGGAGATCACCTTTGCTGGCAACATGTGGAGTCGTACAACATGTATCAGGAACGCCTTAGCAAGTGCTTTAGCCGTGGGCAGGGAAGCAAAGGGGATGAAATGCACCTGTTTCGAAAACAGGTCCACCACCACCCAGATCACAGTCATAGATTTGCTGGGTGGTAAATCCGTAATAAAATCCATGGAAATGACCTCCCAAGGTCGGCTTGGGGTGGGAAGGGGCTGTAAAAATCCTGGGACTTTGCCAGGAAGAGGCTTACTCATGGCGCACACTTGGCAGGATTGAACGAACGAAGAGAGGTCTTTGCGCATGTGCGGCCACCAGAACTGTCTCTGCAAGAGCTGAAGAGACTTCACAAAGCCGGAATGCCCCGCCAACTTTGAGCCATGAACCGACTGCAATACCTCCCCCCTAAGCGATTGGGGCACATACAGTTTATGTCCATGATACCAGCAGCCATTTTCCCGCTGCACACAATCCCCCACCCTTTCCAGTAGCTCTGGGTCCACCTCCAAGAAGGCGGAGTTGAACCTGTCAGGCCAAGGTGACGTCGGTGAGGCAGGGGGTGGCACTGGCGGAGGGGCTGGGTTTCTGTGGGCTTGACTGCGAGTCGTCATTGCACCCCCCAAGTGGGAGGGGGTGAACACTGAATCAAAGGGCGTGGTGACATGGCAGCGCGGCGGAGCCAGCAGGACGTGAGCCGGAGCTGCAGCTGGCACAGGGCCACGCACCAGGATGGGCCCGCCGGAGGAATCCACTGGACTGAAAAAGACCTGTTTCGAGGCACCAGGAGGTGGAACGGCGACTTGAAGGAGCCGGATAACAACAAGCCCTACTGCCTGGGTGCTGGTAGGAAGTCACCTCCCTATATAATGTGGCCCCAGATAGGAATTGAAATTGTATGTAAACCGCTCAGAGACCCTTCAGGGTTAGAGCGGTATATAAACTGAATGTTAAATAAATAAATAAAAAAGGATGACCTCCCTTTGACTGTCATGCTGGGGGAGGCGTGAGAGTGCATCAGCCAACGAATTTTCCGAACCTGGGAAATGATAAAGGGTGAACTGAAACTTAGAGAAGAAGTCCGCCCACCTCAGTTGTTTAGTGTTCAAGCAGCGGGGCGTCTTGAGAGTCTCTAAGTTCTTGTAATCTGTCCACACCTCAAAGGGGACCCTAGCACCCTCCAGCCAATGTCTCCATGTAGAAAGTGCCAGTTTTATTGCCCCCGCTTCCTTTTCCCATACTGACCAATTTCTCTCTGAGTCATTAAATTTCTTTGACACATAGGCTAAGGGATGTAACAGTCCATCCTCCCCCTCCTGCAAGATGCCCCCCCATGGCCACATCAGAAGCATCAGTTTGCACAATGAACGTTTTAGATTCGTCGAGGTGAGCCAGCACCGGCTCCAAGGTGAATAGGGCTTTCAAGCGCATGAACGCCTCCTGACATTCCACAGTCCAGGGAAGCGGAGCGCCAGGTCATGTGGCCTCCGGACCTTTTCCTTTCGTTTTCATAAGGTCCGTGAGGGGAAGGCTGACTTGGGCAAAGTTGGGCAAAAAGGAACGATAAAAGTTCGCAAAACAGAGGAAGGATTGTAATTGGTGCCTGGTTCGAGGCGCTTCCCACCCCAAGACATCCCAGACCTTCCCCGGGATGGTTGGAAATGCAGTAGCCCAGAAAGTCAATGTGTGTCTTGTGGAATTCACACTTGGACAGTTTGGCAAACAGTTTGTGCTTGTGCAACGTGCTTAACACCTCCCTCACTAATTTCACATGTGAGGAGACATCGGGGGAGTACAGGAGGATATCATCAAGGTAAATGAGCACCCCTTTAAACAAATGCTTGTGCAACACCTCGTTTATCAGGTTCATGAAGACCCCCGGGGCCCCTTTAAGTCCGAATGGCATTACGAGGTATTCAAATTGGCCAAGGGGAGTGTTGAACGCGGTTTTCGGCTCATCTCCTTCTTTGATGCGCACCCGAAAGTATGCGTCTCTCAGGTCCAACTTAGAAAAGATTTTCCCTTTAGCCGCCTCGGCTAGTAAATCTTTAATCAAAGGCATAGGGTAGGCATTGGTAGATGACACTGCATTTTGACCCCGGTAATCCATGCAGAGCCTCAAACCCCCATCCTTTTTCTTCCGGAAAAGCACTGGGACTGCAAAGGGGGATGAAGCCGGCCTGATGAAACCCCTCGCCAAGTTTTTATCGATAAACTTTTGGAGTTCATCTTTCTCGGCTGGCCCCATTGCATAGATCTGCCCGTTAGGCAACATAGCCCCCGGTACAACTTCAATGCTGCAGTCTGAGTGTCTATGGGGCGGCAATTCATCTGCTTCCTCTTCCCCAAACACCCTAGCCAAGTCTAGATACTCCGGGGGAATGGAAAGCAGTTCCTCTTGGGCTAAGAGTGCTCCCGTGGCCTCGAGAGGGGGTTTCTTCCCCCACTTAGTGTCCCATCTGTGCTCATGGCATCTGGGAGAGATGAATTGCACCCTCCCCTCTTCCCACAGTATATAAGGGTCATGCCCATGTAGCCAGGGAGCCCCCAATACGAGGGGAAAGCGTGCCGCTGGGGTGACCACAAAGGTTCAGGATTCCCAGTGATCCCCCGCCCCCATTCTTAATGGTGCCGTTTCATATACGCATGGATCTTTCATCGTAGACCCATCCATTTGTGTGAAGATTAAGGGGTCTTTTAGTTCCCCTCAAGTCCCGCAACCAAGGAGGGGCTTATCAAGTCTCTCCCGCACCCCGAAACAATGAGAGCTTTTGCTCGATGATGGCTCCCGAGGGTCGGGTTAAGTAATGAAACAGTCACGAAAAAGAGGGAGGGGTAATTGCTCACCACGTTTGGCACCTCCGGTTGAGGGCCCTGCCGTTCCGCGCCATCTACAGCAGGACCAATCCGTTTCCCGCCAGCTTGCGGTCCTCACCGCTCGAGTCTCCTTCATCCTCTCCCGGGGAAGCTTGTAAAGCTTTTGCAAATTTCGGTTTCCCGGTTTGATTCTTCACAGGAGTAGATGGGCGCCCCTTGGTTCCGTCAGGTTTCTCCCGATGTACTTGTCCCCCGCAGTCGGCCACGAAGTGGCCCCGCTCCCCACATTTCAGGCACAGACCTTGTCACATACACTGCTCCCACGTTGCATCCGGGTAGAGTTTTCCCCAGCTGCAGCTATATCCAACTGCAAGGTTCACAAGCGGTTCTCAGCACTCTCCGCCTCCTGCATCCACACCATGAGGGAGATTGGGTCGACCGACCTCAGGACCGTTTCTCATATCTCCGTGTCTAATCCTACACGGAACATCTCGGCTAACACGTTGTACAAAATTGGCCTGACAACGCGTCAGGATTTCCGTCGAACGTAGCTTCTATTAAGTCTTTCTGGTGCGGAACCACCTGGCCCCTCGGGCTGGCCGGTCTTGGTGCGGGTACCGGGGCTTCTCCTGGCCTCGGGGCCGTCACGTCACCTAGTTGCGCGGGGACTCTCGGGGCGGGCGCTGGTGGTCCCGCTGACATGACAGAGGCGGCCAGGCGCCTTTCCAGGGCCTCCCTGACCACTCTCGTGACCAAGTCTGGGATGGCCATGATGACCTCCTCCAGGGTCTGCTGTAGGTGCTGAATGTTGCGATCAGCCACCTCCATGCGCTTGGCTAGTTCTAGTCCCTCGTCCGGGGACACCCGGCCACTCTGGGTCTTCGATCGCTCCGTCACCCATGAGCTAGCGACCAGCTCGAACTGGGCTCCAAAGGGAGGTAATCCCGCCGCAGCGGCGAGGCCCCTGTCATACAAACTGTCTCTCGGAGGGCCCCCCGTTAGTAGATAGGTCTCTGCCGTCGATTCGGGGTTGAACTGGCTCCAGCTGGAACTGGGTCTGCCACTCTGTCCAGCCCGGTACCTCGGGGCCCGGGGAGTCAGGAACAGATGCGTCGATGAGTACTTCGGGATAGCCCCCCCCCACTGCCCCAGACACCGGTGGCGTTGTAGGCACCGGCACTGAAGCCGTGGTTACCAGGGGGTTCTCCCCATCATCTGGTTCCTTGGGCTCATCTGGCTCCGTGGCCCCATCAGGGTCTGTAGGTAAGGGTTTTCCCTCTCCATCGCTTATATCGGGGTGATAGAGGCACTGAGATAGGGAATGAAAGGATTTCCTAACAGATTGTCAGGATCCACAGCAAAACAACGAAGTACATGCTTCTAGGAAGGTTTTACTTTTATTGAAAAGCTATAGATGCAGTAACATGAACACTGTTAGGAATGGTGGGTGATCTATGCGCATAATAGGTTATAGGGCATTCGTATGCACACACACACACACACACACACACGTAGTACCCAATTAGGTGGGTTCCTGCGAGCGGGCATTTGGCTGAGAACTAACGGCTGCAGAAGCAGGGAAAGTAAGAAGCTTCCCACGAATTCTAGACACATCAACTCCTCCAGTGGCCTTGAGAGATATGCGTTACAGCTAAGATGCAATTCAGCGCATGGGAAGGAATGCACAGCAATTAGAAACATACACCATACTCTTGGCAGCATAGCTGACACCACTGTGTGACAGAGTGTTGGACTGGATGGGCCACTGGCCTGACCCAACATTGGTGCTTATGTTCTTAAGAGGCGAGCCACTGTCTCGCCTACTGTCTAGTCACCAAGGGCAGCCCCACACAAAGGCTGTGGCCACTGGTCTGGCTTCACTCACCTGTCGGACTCCGGTTCATGATCATGGGTGTTGCTGCAGAAGCTAAACCAGGACTCTCGGTGCTTTGTGAGGGGCTGAAGACAAAGGCTTCTTGCTTGAACGGTGATGCTGTGGAAGGCTGGCTGCCCTGTGGGGCGAGAGGGAAGAGTGAGGGCAGGCCACGGAGGTCTCAACAGACACTTGCTTAGCTGCACATGAACACGCTTGGCTCAGTGGCAGACCACAAGCCACAGCTCCCTCTAAACTGTGGAGTCTTGTGAGCAAAAATTCTACTTCGTGAGCGACTGGCATTAAGCGATTTGACTACTGTGTAAATTAATATGCTCTGGAGCCATCGTTCCTGAACTAAGACAAAAACGTGTGAGCCGGAGGCTAAAAAAATGTGAGCTAGCTCACACTCACTCAGCTTAGAGAGAACACTGCTGCAAGCATTGCATGCATGCAGAAAGCTCAACACCTGGCATCTCCAGCCAGGCTGTCTCACGTAGCAGATCTGAGACTTTCCTCATCCTCAGACTTTCAAGAGCTGCTGCCAGTCTGAGTGGCCGACACTGAGCTAGATGAACCAATGGCCTGACTCGGTATAAAGCAACAGCTTCCCTGATCTACAGAGCCTAGCAACCCGCAGACAGTCTTCTTTAGAGGTATGTCTTTGCCTCCATTTCTTGAACCAAGAAGCCAATGTAACTGCGTGAAGTGCTAAGGGAGAAAAAGGAAATGTTCAAGAAAGGGAGGCCAGGACATACCTCTAGAGAAGACTGTCTGCAGGTTGCTAGGCCCTGTCGGTCAGCCATCAGAGAGGCCAAAATCTAAAGCTGGCCAGGGAGGCTCACTACAATGAGAAAATCTTCTTCAGATATGTGAAGAGCAAACGCAAGATAAAAGAGGCGATGGGCCCACTGTTGGGAGAAAATGGAGAAACTCTGAAAGGGGACAGAGAGAAAGCAGAAAGGCTTAATGCCTATTTTGCCTCAGTTTTTTCCCTGAAGAAGAGAACAGGCTCTTCTAGAGATGGTAGCAGGCAAGGCACAGCATCCGGGCTGCTGGTTGACATGGACAGAGAGGTAGCTGAGAAGCACCTGGCTGCACTGAGTGAGTACAAATCCCCCGGGGCCAGATGGTGTGCACCCAAGAGTGCTCCAAGAACTTTCTAGAGAGCTCGCAGAGCTTTTGTCCACCATCTTCTAGGCCTCTTGGAGGATGGGGGATGTGCCACAAGACTGGAGGAGGGCCGATGTTATCCCAATTTTCAAAAAAAGGGAGGAGGGATGACCCAGGACACTGCAGGCCAGTCAGTCTGACCTCTGTCCCAGGGAAGAGACTGGAGCAGGTTTTAAAAGGGATTGACCTGCGAGCATCTAAAGGACAACTTGGTGGTCTGGGGAAGTCAGCATGGATTTGTCCCCAGCAGGCCCTGCCAGACCAACCTCATTTCCTTCTCTGATCTAGTGACAACCTTACTGGATCAAGGGAATGCTATTGATGTTGTTTACCTGGATTTCAGTAAAGCTATTGACAGGGTTCCCCATGATGTTCTGGTGGGTAAACTAGAGGACTGGACTGTAGGATAGCTAGGTGGATAGGGAACTGGGTTGGAGAACTGCACTCCAAGAGTAGTTGTCAGTGACATTTCATCTGAATGGAGGGAGGTGTCCAGTGGGGTGCCACAGGGCTTGGTTCTGGGCCCAGTACCGTTCAATGTTTTTATAAATGATCTGGATGAGGGTGTGGAGGGGATACTCATTATATTTACAGATGACACCAAATTGGGAGGAGCAGTGAACACAGCAGAAGGTAGACTCAGAATTCAGTGAGATCTGAACACCCTGGAAAAGTGGGCGGATGTGAACAAGATGCAATTTAACAAGGATAAGTGCCAAATTCTACATCTGGGTAACAAAAATCAGAAACACGCATACTGGATGGGAGGTACACTTCTGGGTAGCAGTGTGTGTGAACAAGATCTTGGGGTAAGGGTGGACCAAAAGATAAACATGAGCAACCAGTGTGATGCGGCGACAAAAAAGGCTAATGCATTCTTGGGATGTATCAACAGAGGCATAACATCCAAATTGCAAGATGTCCTGCTGTACACTTCATTGGTCAGGCCTCACCTCAAAAAGGATGTGGACAGAATGAAGTGGGTGAAGAGGAGAGCGACGAGGATGATTGGGGGCCTGGAGACCAAGCCCTATGAGGAAAGGCTGAGCTCTGCTTTGTTTTTGAATCTAGCAGTAATTCTGAAATGTATCCGGGATTCTTTTGGGAATTTTATTTTGGTTTTCCCAAGAAAACCCAGATACATTTGGGATGCTGAAATATACCCGAAAAATAAGGTATTTTTAAGTTCCCTGCTTTAGGATTATCCACTTGAGCCAGGAGGGCATGACCTCCCTGACCATTACAGAGCACAAGGCACCCCTGAAGTTTTTCATGATGACCTCCAGGTGCAGAGGTAGCAAACCTCTGGATGCCAGCTGCTAAAGACTGCCTCAGAGGACAGTCCCCGCCTCTGGGCCCTCCAGTTCAACTAGCTGGCCAATGTGTGAAACTGGATGCTGGAGCAGACGGACCAGTGACCTGATCCAAAGGGCTTTTGTGTACTTATCATCTTCACATCTCCTTCACATTTTCGGATATGTTACGTGCTGGGCATCATCATCTAATAATCAAGATTTTTGGTTTCTCTCTTCAGTTCGAGGGACTGTTTTAGGAAAGCCACAACCAGCCAGACTCAGGGCTTGCAGAGTTCACTGAGGGCCTCTCAGTCTTTCTCCCCACATTTTGAGCACTGGGCCTGGTAATTTGGATGGATCCCTGTGGTTTCCTCTCTGGGGTTAATGAAAACCAAGGGTAAAAAATCTAATTTTTCCACCCTTCTTTATTTCCAAGAGAGGGAGGAGAATAATATGGAGAAATCGATAGGAACTTGGAGATCAAGGAACAGCAAGGGGAGGGGGATGATGGACGGATGAAAGGGTGCCATGCTGGTCATAAAGAAATGGGGGAAGCCAGTCCCAGGCAGGGGTGGTCAGAGGAGCAGACTACGATCTGCGAGACGCAGGTCCGAATCCCCCTCTCTGCCACGGAATCTTCTCTGGGTGGCCTCGGCTCCAGCACTCTCTCTCTCAGCTTTGCCTACCTCTCAGGGTTGTTGTTATTGTGAGGATCAAATTGCAGGAGGGGAGAATGGTGTGACGGATGCTTTGGGTCCCCCACTGAGGGAGAAAAGCATGGTAGGAATGGAGTGAATAAACAAGTCTATCCAAAAGCAAGACCCCCCCCCCAATACTCTCACATGCAAACTTTTAATGGCTGTACATACTTGTACCCAGGGCTTTTTTTGTAGAAAAAGCCCAGCAGGAACTCATTAGCATAATAGGCCACACCCAACAGCAGAAAGTCATTAGCCTATTAGGCCACACCCATGACAGTGCAGCTCATTAGCGTATTAGGCCACATCCCCCTGGCTTGAAGGAAAGGCTGTGCGGAGCCCAGGCAAGCTGGCCCTTGGACAGGCCAGGGAAGACAGGGAGAGGAATTTAAATGCCTCCCCGATTTTTCCAGGGGGCCCCCCCAGCCCACCCGCCTCGGAGTCGCCGGGGGGGGGGTCGCTCTCCAGGCCTTCCCTCTGTAGCCACGCACATGCAGAGGTTTTGGCTGTAGTGGGCGTGGCCCACTCTGAAGCCAGCCGGAACTCCGTTCCTGTGCGTCCCTGCCCAGAAATAGCCCTGAATGTACATGCTTGTCATTTTCTTCACAGACCCCTGGATTTCCTTTTGAGTAAACGTATCTTGTGGCCTTTGCAACATCCTCGCAGGCTCCCTGCTGGCTTGCAGCCCCTCCCCCTCCCCCAAGACCAAAAGGAGGGTTAGGGAAGGGGGGGGGATTACCAGGCTGTTGTACTCCTCCGTCGCTTCGCTCTCCCCGGCTGCGCTGCTGAAGCTGCTGGTGCTGGAGGAAGAGCGAGAGATGCTTGACCGCCCATTCTCCTTGAGCTTAGCGAAGGGCCTGGTGGTCAGAGGAGAACAGAACGGTGAAGCACAAGGGGTGGCTCCGGCAGCACAGACTCCTCGGCCTGAAGTCCTCCGAGTCTTTTTAAAGCACCCCTGTGGAAACGGGTAGCCCACAGGGAGAGGGCTGGAGCCTGCAATGGCTTGGCTTGGAATAGGAACTCCTCTTTCTCGTAGGGTTCACACACAGGAAAACTAGAATTTAGGTGGGTCTGACAGCAGTCCATAAATAAATAGGAACCATTCAATTGGGGGGGGGGGGAGAAAAGCACCTCTGTGATTTTTTTAAATAGTAGGCCATAGTGGATTGTAATGTCCACACCTGAAGACCAGGTGGATCTAGCAGCAAGCCCCATGCCCCTCACTTGAGCTGGAGCACTGAGGTTTTTAAAAAATTGCAATTTTTTTTTTAAACACCAAGCAAATGAACAGCAGCCCACAGTGATGCTGCCGAAATCTGTAATTGCCTGGGCAGAAGTACGAATCTGCCTGGTTTGCAGTGCTCACATCTACTGTCCATGCCACAGAGTCAAAGCACAGTTTTGAAAGCCAAGCCGGATCTGAGTCCAGGAGCACCTGAGAGACGCCAACTGGCTTTTTGGGGGAAGCACGCTTCCGTGGGTTGGCTCCAGCCACCCTTCCGCAAGGAAAGGTGCGCGGGGACAGGCCACGTCCCCACAGGACTTTTGCTCCAGTTGGGTGGCAAAACCAGGGTGTTCTTTTTTGTTGCTTCATCCACTTCCCAGTTTTCTTCCCTGCTTTACTCCATTATCTTTCCCCCCTAACGTTTAATTAGTTTTTCATACACACAATACAGTACAACACAATACATGAGAGAACCCACAATTGTACAACCTAGACCTTAGTGAGTCAGGAGGATTATAAATAAAATACATCCCATATCTTGTCTAGACTCAGGGAAACAAGCAACCTATGTGCAATCTGTAAACACCCGTACCCAAACAACTATGATATCAGAGCTAAATTAAACCCATTTTGTCTACCAGACTTTAAGATACCTTGCACACCTAAGACTGATTACATATTATTTTCTTTTCCACGCCACCTGCCCTGTTGAAAACATCAAATCGAATACTTTTCCAAAGCTGCTCTGAACCTGCTCCTCTTCCTCAAAGTGTGCTCGCAGCCATGCGGATAGGAAGGGTGTGTGGTTTTATTGCCGTTATCTCCCTTGCTCATGCTATTCTCCCGTGTACCACCAGAGGGCATTTTGAGAGGTTTTAAAAAATCTATACTTGCCGCTACGGGGGGGGGGGGGGGGGGGGGAACCACCTCCAGAGACAGAAGAAAGACCACAGCGCAGGACGTCTGGCTCACAATTACCTCTCTTTGTTAGGACAGATTTCTGGTGAGCTCGGATTTGAGGAGGCTTCTGGTTTCATTTCTTGGAAGGGAAGTCCACCATCTGGGGTTTTGGGGGTTCCTGAGCCACTGTCACTATGAAAGAAGCAAAACAGGTGAGGTGGGTGAACCAAACCCCCTCCCCCAAAACTGGTCACGTGAATGTTTCAAAATGGCGACACTCTAGTCCAAGACTCAACACGAATGGACTTGAGCTCAATAGGGATGGGGAGTGGCTACCTCGCTGGAGAAAGTCGCTGTCCCCCATTAGAGATTTATGCACACAATGCATCTTGTTTTGTTCATTCATCAGAGTCTAGGAGCCACATCCAGTCAGACTGGGTCTTTTACACTTCTGTCTGGATGTTGTTGCTGTTGTTGTTGTTATTCAGCATCTTGTCCTGCAGAGCTTCCTGGTTTCCTTTGGTAAAAGCACTTCTCCCTTCACCCATTTGTTCTTATTCTTTTTGCACCCATGTATTGGAATACCTGCCAGCTGAGGAGAGCAGGCACTACTGGGGTCCTACAGTGAGTATATCCTAAGTTCCTTTTGCATATCAAGTGTCCTGCCCCAATAGTGGTGGTTTCCATGTTGTGTGAACACAGCATCACATCAATTTATCATGTGCGTACAGCTCCAGTATATGTGTGAACTGAACACTGGATTTTTCAGAACTTGTACAGGGCAACTGAGCATATTGTACAGATTGCAGGCAGATGTGCTTCCAATAAGTGCAATCAGTAGGTGCCTGGAAAAGAAAAAAAATCTCATACCCAGGGCCAGCCCGAGGCGAGGCTGCACCCTAGGCGAGGTTGCAGGCTGCAGATGCCAACCTCTCGGTGGGGCCTGAAAACAGCCCCACTGGGAACCCAGCGGCGGGGGGCTGGGCACTCGGTTGGCAGCAGTGGCAGCAGTTCCAGCGGCAGGTAAGGAGCGCTGCCAAGAGGGGGTAAAGGGCCGCGCGGTCCCGGGGGGCGCCGAGGTGGAGGGCTGGCTGGCTGAGGCGCCAGCAGAAAGTGCCGCGGCGCCAGTAGCACGGCCTCAAGTTTGCGCACTGGGGGGGGGAGGATTGTGTGAATCAGCCAGCCAGCCCTCCACCTCAGCATGCTCCGGGACCATGCGGTCCTTTACCCCCTCTTGGCAGCACTCTTTACCTGCCGCTGGAGCTGCCGCAGCTTCCGCCAACTGAGTGCCCACAGCGGGAGGAGGTAGGTGAGCGAGGGGGTAAAGGGCCATGAGGTCCTGGGGCATGCTGAGGCGGAGGGCTGGCTGGCTCAGGCGCCGGCAGAAAGAAAGCGCACTGGGGGGGGGAGGATTGTGTGAATCAGCCAGCCAGCTGCTGAATCAGCTTACCCGCTGCTGGAGCTGCTGCTGCTGCCGCCAACCAAGTGCCCGCGGTGGGAGGAGGTAGGTGGGCGAGGAGCTGGGCTGGGGCTTGCACACACCGGCCAGCCAGCCAGCAGCAGGGCGCGCTTACCTCAAGTTCTGCCTGGTGGCGCCTGCAGCAGCTCCAGTGGCCTTGGCTCCCCCGGCAGGTGGCGGCAAGCGCAGCCCCGGTGTGGGTTCCCCTCTTCATGCGCCCGCTCTGCCAGCGCCTCTCCCCGCCGGCCATGGGTAAGGAGAAGTTGCCAGAGAGGGGCTGGGTGGGCGGGAGGGACGCGGAGGGGAGCCTCGGGGATCTCCAGATCGGCGCTGGCTTTTGGCGGGGGAGGCAAACTTCGGCACCCCCATCCAGGGCCCGCCGCCTCATCCAGGGCCTCCCGCTCTAGGCGAGTGCCTAGCTGGCCTAGCGGGAGACCCGGCCCTGCTCATACCACCCACCCCCTTCTTCAGTACTGAGAGCTGCATGGCTGAGCAACCAGGAGAAGGCCTGGGCATTAGTCAAGCAGTGCTGTGGCTTCAGATCTAAACTTTCCAGTACCCAAGAAATCTGCAAACTATTTAAAAACCTTAAGCACACCGGATATAGGAGATTTTGTCACCTTTTGTCATCAGCAATCCAGGGGGAGAGAGATTAAGGGGCGGGTCCAACCGCCCCCCAGGGAGCCTTCCTCCGCCTGGAGTGGCTCTTCCTCCTGCGGCTGGAGAAAGGCCCCCTCAGAGGTTGCTCACGGGAGTGAGTGGCAGGAGAGGGGGAGGACCCGCCCCCTGTCCCAGGGCCTGCTCTTCGGTAATTCCCATGAGGCAGCCTGCGCTGATGCCATTGTTCCCACTGCAGCTGCGGTGCCAGGCCATTCAGCAGAAGAGCCAGATACCCCTTTTCATGCTGGGGAAAACGTTTTCATCCCTGAAAATTGGCTTTGTTTTTGAAAGTAGCCACTGGCACTAGATCCTGGATGCTGAAAGACCTCTGTTAATCAAACACATACAGTTGCTGTATTTTGCCTTAATGACTAACCCACCCTCATACATCGGCACTTAATTCACTGAATTACCTTCGACTCCGGGGTTCTGCCTGGCTCTCCGACCCCGTGTGCAAGCGGGGGAAGAGCCCCGACCGTCTCTTGATGGGGCTCCGGGACTGATTCTTGGCTGTTGCAGCCGTCACAGGAGGCTGACAAGCAAAGCAGAAATAGTCCAGAAGTCACAGTGTAACTTTCCATCCTGTTTGGCTGGATGGCATTGGCTCGAATAAACTTGAGATGGCTGTCACCGGCCCTTGAGAAGCGATTTACCATCCCTCTATCTTAAGTCCATCCTTCTGCCAAGCACGACTTCCTCCCCCACACAAACATTTTATTCTCACTCCAATCCCATGAGGTGGGTTCGGCTGAGGAAGGCTAAAGGTTAGCCCAGAGAGCTTTATGGCCAAGTGGGGATTTGAAGCCCCGCCTCCCAGACCCTGGTTCCTGTCCTCTGACAGACCGTCCTCCCGGGGCTAAGTGACTGTTCCCTGTGTTCCTTCTGATATCACGCCATGGAAGGGATTGTGGCTCAGGGAAAGGGCATCAGCTTAGCATGCAGAAGCTCCCCGGCTCGGTCTCCCAGCATTTCCAGCAGAACAGCCAGGCAGCTGATGGGAAAGGCCTCACTCTGGGCATCTGGAGAAAGGCTTCCAATCAGAGTGGACAATACTGACCTTGATAGGCCAGTTGCCTGGTTCGGTATACAGCCGTTTCATGTTTTCAGTTTTGGATCTTTCTGTCAGTTATTTTCAGGGGTCATTTCGTAGAAAAAGAGCTAGGGGAACTCATTAGGATAACTCATTAGCATATGCCACACCCCCTGACATCAGGGGCCCGGCGGTGGACCTGCAAGGCCAGCGGGAGTGCGAGGAAGCCCCGCCAAGGCCCTCCCTGGCCCCAGGCAGGCAGAGGTGGGGAGAGGCGGGGAGGAAGCAACTTACCCTCCCTCTTCTCCTGCCCCCTCCTGGCTGAATGAGGGCTGGAAGCGGGGCGGCCGGAAGCAGGGGGCGGGGCTTGTTTTAACTTTTTTTGCATTTCTGTTTTATTTTTATTTCGCAATAAGCAATTCACAGGCTTTCTTTATTTCTTTGAACGTAGGGACATGTTCTTCTCTGTTCCTCCTTATCTGAAGTAAAGCCTCCAGATTCAGAAGAAGGGGTGTCTTCCCTTTCTGATAACAAGACTGCACAGGAAACACCTGAAACCTCTTCAAGTGCTCCTGCATTGTAAGTATCAGTGCTGCTATCCGAGGGGAATAGAAATGGAGCCAAAAAACCTGGGATGTCCTCCACAAATTTTATGTCGATAGAAGATGGATGTTTATGCAATAAATAAGAGAGATGTTCTCTGACTGCCCATTTGCTCACCCAGATCACCTGTCCTTTGTATGGGAGGACGGACGGTCAACACACTCTTATTACATTCAGGTATCAGAGGAGGTGCAAGTGGGCCGAGGCTTGATGCAGGATTCAAACTGCCGCGCCCCCCCTTTTCCTGTAATGAGTACCCCACCCCTCCCATTCTTGCCTTCAGGCTGGTTGGGTGTCCCGTCTCCTCGCCTACATAACCGTTGCTTTCCCTTTGGCAGAGCAGCCGTTGCTGCCTCCGTGGCTGGACTCCCGGCTTCCCCTGCTCTCCTCACTGTCCTCATTCCCTTCCACTAGCAAGTCTTCTGTAAACTTTGTCAACAGATCTAATTTCTCAAAGATTTCCCCTACGGTATTAGATATTAAAGACGTCTGATTTGCTAGCATTTCCAGATCTGTTTGTGTGTTTTTCCATTTCTTATTTCCCCCCCCCCAAAGCTCATCTGTAATAGCTGCATGGGATCGAGATCCCAAAGGAGGATCTGAAGACATGTTTAAGGGACTTAGGGGGATTGTGTCCCTGATCAAGAGGGAAGGAGACCTATAGTAAAAAAAACCTCCTCCATCCGGCTCTGCTTAGAGGGGGGTAGATTTTCATCAAGGGCTCACAACCCTTTTTCCTTCCCATAACTGCATATATTGCTTAATCGAGTAAGGCTCTGTCAGTTTGTTTAGATAGGTAACTGATATCAATTTAAGATCAATTTAAAACTATTTAAGCTCCAATGTTTAATTGATTATAGTATTTATTATTTATTATACTAAAATGTGAATCAGTTTTCAAATGTAGACATTTGAAAACTGATTCACGTTTTAGTATAATAAATAATAAACACCGAAGGCAAAACTCCTTTTTATTCACTTAACACTTAACCCCCCATTGGTGCCTCAGGCAACTCTCCAAAATCTTAAAAGCCCAAAGTGATATGGCCTTAAATTGAGATCATAAGGGTAAAACAGCACAAAATCAATTGTATACTAAACAAAAATAGAGGGAAAGGAACATGAAAATAAACTAGTTCCCTCAAACTCCCTCAATCCCCTTGTCCCGTCCCGTCCCCCAGGTTCTCAGGCGTCCCCAGCTTCTTGCCACTCCACCCCTCGGCCACACCCTAACCTCATCCCCCCAACAGGAGAATGGGGGGGGAGCTTCTACATTGAGCCCTAAATCTAAAGCACTAAAGTATCCAATGGGTGGGAGCCCCCTCGACATACAGAAAATGAAAAGCTGCAGAGGCAGCTTTAATCAGTTGGGGAGGGGGAGAGACTCCTCCACACTGCGTGTCTAATTGCTGAGACAGCCAAAAGTAAAACCATGGAGAGAGCGCTTTCGCTTCTCCCCGATAAAAGGAAAATAGAGTCAGAAGCAAAATAAGAACAGAGTTATCCAAAACAAAAGCTGAAATCAATTGAAAACCATGAAAACAATGCTCCTCCGCATTAGAGCACAGCCTACAAACACCTAATTACACTCAGCCGGAAACCGGAAGTCTTTTATTTTAATTTATTTGTTAAAGCATACACTTAAAATTATATCCTCCCTTTCTCCCCAGTGGGGACCCAAAGCGACTCAGACGAGGTCACCCAGCGAGCTTCCTTGGCAGAGCAGGAAGTCACACCGGAGCCTCCCGGGTCCCAGTCCAACCGCCTATGCCACATTGGCTCACTTGTTTGCACTGTGCATGCCTGTTGTACCACTCTGAGATGCAACCAATAGGCTATTTATAGGCACAATGCATTCATATGCACATTCTACTGATGTATTTCATAACTCATGTTGAAAAATCTGAATATTTTACAGGAATATTTCAACACACATGAAGCTGCCTTATACTGAATCAGACCATCGGTCCATCAAGGTACTACTCATCCTGGCAGCGGCTCTCTACGATCTCAGGCGGAGGTCTTTCACTTCACCCACCCTTTTTAATAGAATCCTTATTCTATTTTCAATAGTTTTTTTTCTGTGCAGATACTTATTTCCACCAACAGGGGGCTCACTCTCCCCCAACAGCTTTTCCATAGTCATGGGCCTTCCTAAGGCTGCAGAAAAATCCAAAAACTAAAAAAATCCCTTCAGGGACGGCTGAATTCCCCCCAAAACCTTTTGAAATGGCCTCTGCAGGGATCTGCTTCAGGCATCAATGGTGAGACTTGGGGCCAGGCCTCACAAGAGTTGGCAGTGCCAGGCTGGGGGATTTCTAGAGATTTTGTGGTGGACTCTAAGGAGTCTATCAATACAATCAACAGCATAAAGCCATTAGAGACCAAAAAAAAAAAAAAGCACCAGCAAGCTATAAAAACGGGTCAGGGTCAATGCAGAGCACCCTCGAGGGGACTTTTGCTTCCTAGCAAAATACGCAGGTGTGTGCTTTGTGGCCAGAGATCATTTGCCTTCTGCTTGTTCAGAATGTGGGGTAGTCAGAGTTTGTAGGACTGAGGCTGTTTCCCCAAAGAAGCTTCTCTTTCCTGTGCTAACGTGGTTGTATTATCACATTATTTGCTTCTCTGAATGCATATAAACACTTCCTTAAAAAGCAGTTAGAGAGGATTATTCTCCCCCAGAGAAAGCACTGGTTTCCTCACCTCTGGCACAGAGACTTAACAAGCGTGTTCACCACTACCAGTTTTCCCCGTTCCATTTCTCAGACACCCTGTCCACCTCTTTCATTTTGCAAAGACCCAGTTACAGGTTGAAGCAATCAACAGTTCTCACCTTTCTTTTAAAAAAAACGGAATCAATTTTTTGAATTCTGCAGAAACTGCTCTAGGGAAAAGAAGGATTATGATGACACTGGCACCTGCCAATCTACACTGCACATGATGACTTCTGCAGTGCATTGGCAGAATCGTTTTTCTCCCAACTATCAGTCCCAGAGATGGTGGAGATACGAGAGATGACCACCTTTTCTGAATGCAACAACTAATTTTATTGAAAATCTGCACAGTTCCTCAGTGGTGTCGCACTTACAGAGAAGGTGGCCTTGGTGGTTTCAGCACTGTTGTGTGCAATTCCCCCACTCAGGCTTCCAGGGATGCTGCCACTGTGGTGTTTCTTCTGACTCCCAACCATTGTTTCCATGGAATGGCTGCGGACTCGGATGGCTCTCTGCAGAGCAAAAAGGAAAGGAAGTGCCACTTGGTTATATTTGAAACAATCAACTTGGAAGTGTTCAGAAACTGGAGTGTGTTTTGGAACCTACTTTTATGCCAAGAATGTGGGTGATTTCTCACAAGCGTTGCTCAGCGCTCACTCTTCTCTTTGGCCCGATGGTACGTGTCAATTTCATACAAGCTGCTGCGTGACCGCATTTTGCCCCGCAACATCATGCAATTTCCCCCGCATCTACTCAATCCTGTTTTTTGAGGATTGAGTAGACGCGGGGAAAACTGCACGAAGCTGCGGGGCAAAATGCAGCCATGCAGCAGCTTGTGTGAAATTGACACGTACCATCGGGGCAAAAGGGAGGAGTGAGCGCGGAGCAGCGCTTGTGGGAAATCACCCTTTGTTAAATTTCAAGCATTAGGGACATGTGCCACCTGCCAGCCAGACCAAAGGCTTGTTTTTTTCTGCTGCCCATTGTGCAAGGAGCTGAAGGTGGAGCACAAGGTTCTCCCCTACTTCATTGCATCCTCACAATGACACTGCGGGGTATGCTAAGCTAAAAGAGAATAGCTGACCTAAGTGTACCCCAGTGAGTATTATCACAAACACGTATTTGAACATGTGTATTCCCAAGGTATACAACAATACTCTAACCACTACACCATGGCAGTAGGATATCCCTCCCCAATTCTCCCCCCCACGTACACAGACATACACACACACACAAATGTGCTCTGCTTTTGAATCATTCTGTTTAGCTATCCTATATATATATAATCCCCTTACATATTGACCATTTCCAGCTCTCCCATTGGCTGTGCAGTGTGCTCCAACAGCCATTGGCCCATCAACTGGCACTCAATAGTACTTGTGTGCCATTGGCAGGGTGCTGGGTCTGCTCCTCTCCCCCACCCACTGCCAGCCTGGATACTCTTCTCTCACAGAATAAACTGCCAAAAGGCTGTCTATCCTGACAAAGACACTTCAATAAAAAAGCAAAGGCAGGAGGTGCTTTCCAGGCCTTTGTGAGGAACTCATTGGGGCCAGTCCTGACTAGGGTTGCCAGCTCCAGGTCGGGAAATTCCTGGATATTCTGTGGTGGAGTCTATGGAAGCCAGAGTTTGGGGAAGGGAGAGGCCTCAGCTGAATAGAATGCCATAGAGCCCACCCTCCAAAGCAGCTATTTTCTCTGGGGGGACAGATCTGGAGTTCAGTTGTGATACCCGGTGATCGTCAGGCTCCACCTGGAGGTTGGCTACACTAGGCATAGCAGTTAGCGCTTCAGAGCAGGGTCTGCCAGACCCAGGTTCTTGCTGTGGAAGTTCAGTGGGTGATTTCAGACCAGTCACAGACTTTCAGCCTAACCTACCTCACAGGGTTCTTGTGCAGATCAAAAAGAGGAGAGGAGAATGATGTAAAGTGCTTTGGTCTCCACTGCAGAGAAAGACTGTACTTTTCCTCCTGGGGAACCATTGCTGCCAATCTCCAGGTGAGTGCTGGTGATTAGTCAGAATTAAAACTGCTCCCCAGATGGAAGAGATCGCCTCCCCTGGAAGAAACGGCTGTTTTGCAGGGTGGACTCTGTGTCATTTTACCCTGCTGAGGTTGCTTCCTTTCTGCTTGGGTCCCCACTGTGGAGAAAGACTGTAGTTTTCCTAGATAGAGGCTACAGGGATGGAAACCCAAAGTCAGAGGGGCAGATAATTGTACGTTGATGGTTGGCTGGGAAGGAAATAGGGTTGCCACCTTCGGGTTGGGAAATTCCTGGAGGAGTGCAGCCTGAAGAGAGTGGGGTTTGAGGACAGGTGGGACCTCAGACAGGTACAAAGCCATAGACTCTACCCTCCAAACCAGCCATTTCCTCCTGGAGAACCATTGTTGCCAATCTCTGAGGGTGGGCTGGAGATCATTCAGAATTACAACTGCTCTTCAGATGGCAGAGGTCAGTTCCCCTGGAGAAAACAGTAAGCTCTGTGTCATTATACCCTGCTGAGGTCGCCACAGCAAATTGACGCTGAGCGCCCAAGGCCAGGTCACGTGCCCAGAGCGTCTTTCTAGAGTTGTTGTATTTATTTCCACAATGGGCCTTATTCCTATTTATAAATAAAAGCCAGCCAAAACAACCTCCATTCCTCTATGTGTGTGTGTAGAGTGCTGTCAAGTCAAGTCGACTTATGGCCACCCCAGCAAGGGGCTTCCAAGGCAAGCGATTAAGCAGAGGTGGTTTTGCCATGGCCTCCCTCTGCAGGGTCTTCCTTGGCGGTGCCCCCTCCAAGTGCCAGCCCTGCCTAGCTGTCAAGATGTGATGAGATCAGGCTGTGCTCTCCCATTCCACATCCCTGTGATTCCACACATTTGTCTAATCTTTTTAGAAGCCATCATCTCATCCTGAAGCAGGGAGCAGATTCAGATTCACAGATGTGTGAAGAGATGACTTTATAGGGGTATCTGCTCAGAATCTGTCAATTACATTGGGAGGGAGAAAAGCTATTAAAGCTGCTTGCAGAGGTTGTTTTAAGTGGCTCGTTATCCCTGCTATTTCCCACAGTTTAAATGGCCCTTCTGGCAGTTGCTGTCTGACCACTAGGTTAGGAGATCAGGAGAACCATGTAAAGGGTTAACCCCATTTCCCCAAAGCCCCAATCCGACCAGTGCTCCCTCTGGGCTGAGTTAGGGTGAGCCAGGTCACAGTTTTTTAGCCTCTGGCTCACACACTTCTGTCTTCGCTCAGGAAGGAGGGCTCCAGAGCAAACTAATTGACACAGGAGCCAAACCGCTCGCTCACAACTTCAATGCCAGTGGCTCACAAAGTAGAATTTTTGCTCACAAGGCTCCACCGCTTAGAGGGAGCACTGGAGGGCACTATCTACTATGACCAGGTTTTTTTTTTGTTTGTTTCTTTAAACAATAGGGGATCCAGCCACAGATATCCTTTGGCTGCATTTCGTTCAGGCCTCACTGGGTGTCTTTTGGGCCAATTCACACAGTAAAAAGTCCTTGTGACGGCTAAAAGGCTTAGTTTCACACGTGCGCTGTCTGCTCAGTGGAGAAACATAAATTGTGGGGAAATGACACGGGGACGGAGTAGGCTGAAGCCCCTTCTCCCGGTGGGCCATTGGTCCTGATCCGAGTCAGTCCTGTGCATGCCTGGGACAGACACGGGTGATACCAAGTCCTCGAAATGTGTGAGTAGGCCCCAATTCTCAGCATAGCCTCCCGGCTTCCCAGAACTGGGCCTGGAAAGACCTAACCTAGGCTGTTGCAGTGATAAAGAGATAATAACAGAAGAAAATAAGAAGTTCATTATCATGTTTGCTCTTCTGAAATCTTTGAAAGGAGGGATACAATCATTATCTATAATGATGACGATAATGCTAGCCCTTGATCCAAAGCCAAAGAAAGACATGTATATGTTAAATTGTTTATTCCTACACGTCTGGCTTGAGATCTACCTGGAGAGAAACAGGATTTTTCCAGGCTGTGAAAGTGGCAGTAACTTGAAAATTGCCATCTAGGGCTACCTGCAGCCCGCTGCCTCCCCCCACCCCCACCCCGTTTTCTTTCCCATTTTATATTTTGCACATGAATCACACTGAGCAATGAAGAGGCTATTAAGCAGACCAGCAGTGCTGTCCAAAGGGAAAACAGCACCTGCCAAATTATTCAGACACTAGTTTTGCTCTCAAGCTTGGAGATATCCTGAAATGCCAAAAGAGCAAGAAAGTCCAATTTTACCAAGGCAAAAGGCACAGGAAAGTTTAGCACTGACACGCCAAGGACATCTTAATAAAACTGTGTTTTTGTCTGACAGAAGTCTGAGTGTTCGGGGATGTTCCAATCTGCGGCATCCAGCATGTGGGAAGAAAGTGGCAAGTAAGTGGTTGTCGGGGACAGGAAGTGGGGGCACCAGCCCTTCCTGGCCGATGAAGCAAGATGGCACCAGAAGCAGGCGCGAGGGCTGGACTGGGCACAACAAGAGAAGGCTGCCGACAGGGTGGCAGCACTGTGCGCAGGCTGCCGCTTCACCCAGGCCCACATCTCGACAAGGTCACAGAGCTCAATGAATGAGTTAGGAAGAACGTCCTGGCAGTTAGAGCGGTTCCTCAGTGGAACAGGCTTCCTCGGGAGGTGGTGGGCTCTCCTTCCCTGGAGGTTTTCAAGCAGAGGCTGGATGGCCCCATCTGTCAGCAGTGCTGATTCTGTGAACTGAGGCAGATCATGAGAAGAGAGGGCAGGAAGGGTTGCCTCAGTGCTTAGTTCTCGTGGCCCTTTCTTGCACGCCCAGGGAAATGCTGATCGCTACTCTGGGGTCAGGAAGCCATTTTTCTCCAGACGGCTTTGGCAAGGGATCCTGGAGGGTTTTTGTCATCTTCTGGGCATGGAGCAGGGGTCACTGGAGGTGTGGACGGGGGAGGTATTTGTGAATTTCCTGCATTGTGCAGTGGGTTGGTCTAGATGACCTTGGAGGTCCCTTTCAGCTCTATGATTCTATTATTCTATGAATGAACCTGGGGCAGTGACTTCTCTTACCTCCTTCTCAAGGTTATCCTGGGGATGGGAGCAGCATGTACGCTACCCTGACCTCCTTGGAAGAAGCGCAGGATTTTTAAAATGTCCTACATGGACAGAGACTGAAGCCACGGCTGTTTGTACCAGACCGGCTGAGAGCTTCTGTTAGAGATGGAAACGACTAAGTGGGGGGGGGGGAGGCTCAAGTCACTCCTGTTCTCACTTGGCTTTTGTTTTTTTTATTTGTTTTAAAGACATTTACTTCCCTTTTGATTAAACAACCATCAAGGAGGTGGGGAAAGACAGCAGATTACACAGAGCAACAGCTCTACTTAGGGTTTGTTTTTAAGGATGGTGAATCTGGACGGCATCACAACTCTGCACTGAAGCAGGGGTGTCAAACATGAGGCCCAGGGGCCGGACGCAGCCTCAGTCCAGCTGGCCCTCGACTGGCCCACCAGCAATTGATGTGAGGGAGGGAGGGCAGGAGGCTGCTTGGGGGTGCAAGCAGGCGCGTGTGGTTTGGTGTATGTGTGGTCAAAGCTGTCAAGAAATAGAAAGGAAACAGCTAGAGGGTGGGGCTAAGAGGCTAAGTTAAAATAGGGGGGGACAGAATAGGAACAAAGGCAGAGAAAGGGGAGGTGAGGGTTCCCCCCCCCTTCTGCCTCCTCTGAGAAGCCACTACATAGGGGGGAGGGGGGAGCCAAGCAGCCGGCGCTGCCACCACTGCAGCCACTGGCTTTTCACTTTTTCAAATGGTGACCATGAGGGAGGGAGGGTGGTGAGAGCGGGCCAGGCCCAGTGAGGAAGAGAGGAGGAGGAGGAGGGCTGGTCCATGGGGGAGGCAACGGGGCTGTCTTGTGCATGCTGCTCAGAAGGGAAGATGCCTCCCGGCCTCCGAAGTGGATGGAGGAGGAAAGGGAAATCAGGGTGCTGCTGCTGCCGCCACCGCACATCGGAGGAGTAGCAGAGCAGGGAGGCAGAGTGAGTGCTGGGGGAGGTGGGGGATGGTGACCCTCCCCCCACCTGTTCTCAGCCCATGAGGGAAGAGGGGTTGCGGGAGGTCAGAGAGCACCCCCCCGGGGAGTCTCGGAAACAGCCTCTCCATCAGGCCTCCTCCCAGCCCCACCACTTCTGGGGGAAATGCAGGAAGGATGAGAACTGGGGAGGGGGGTGGGGTATCTGGGGGAGCCAGGTTCAGACCTCCCCCCTCCTCCTGGGCCAGGACCCCCCCCTGTCATCTGGGGCCAGTTTCTCAGCCTGGCGCACCCCACAGGGCTGGTGGCGGAGGAGGAGGGAGTCCAGGGTGCCTCCTCAAGGTCCCCAGAAGTAGGACGGGGGCAGAGAGGAAACAGAGAGAGAGAGAGAGGCTGGGCTGGGCTCAGTTGCTGAGGTTGTGCATATTTTGGGGGGGCGTTTACTGGCAAGTGATAATGGCTGCAATCACACAAGCAGTTTGGCCCGACACAGTCACCACCCCTCCCCCACGGATCAAATGAATGCCCTCAGACAGCCACATCCGCCAGGCATTCCCCAGCCACACTTATCCTGTCATAGGGTGACTTGGAGCCGGGTTAAAAAGGCACCACATCACAAGTAGTGTTTTTGGTTCCCCGTGCAGTCACTGTGTATGGCCAGATGTCTGACTGTGGGGGAGCACATGTAGAACGGATTTGGCAGTCTGATCTGTTCTGCCGCTCGGGAGGGTTTTGTTTTTTTAAATGCCTATATGTACATGAATGCACATGCGTGCGCATGCATGTTGAAAAAATTTTGGGCAGAGTGCTCTGTGGCTGAGGCGCTGCAATAATGTGGATGCTTCACCAGGGGATGTCTGCATGGTTAAACTACATCAGGGTGTGCTGTGTGGCTGGTATGCCCTGCAACACTTCAAACCAGTTCAATTAGAGGTGGCACAACCACAGAGATGAAATATCTAGGTATCCAGATTCCATTAGATAGCTCCAAAGTGTTCTCTCTAAACTACTTAAATATGTATACTGAAATAACTCAACAGATGTATAAATGGAGTAAATTAAATCTCAATTGGTTTGAAAAATTTAACTTAATCAAGTCCTTTATCTTACCAAAAATTATTTTTCTATTCAGAACAATTCAAATGTGATGCTCAAAAAATGGCAATCATCTCTAAAAGATTTCTTGTGGAATAAAAAGAAATCTAGAATAAGCTTCTCAGTTTTAAGAAGACCCCAAACCTTAGGGGGCTTTGCTTTACCTGATTTAGCAGTTTACCATAAAGCAATTTTGCTAGCCACTTCGATTAAAATGCTACACACCACTACAAAACCTTTATGGGTCAACATAGGAGATGACTTGTTATCTCCAAAGTATTTAGATAGTACTCTCTGGAATACTGAATCACTTTCTGTAACGGAGAGGAAGGCTATTGAACCTATCTTCCCACCAATCCAATGCTGGAAACGTCATGCCAGACACTTCTTGCCCTCAATCTCAAGATACTACACCTTTTTAAACCAGAAAACATTTCATCCTGGATCAGACACAACTGTATCAACAAAATGGAGACTTCAACATCTTACCCGATTAGGGGACATAGCGGACAAAAAAGGAATATTAAGTAAAATAGACCTTGAACAAAAGTTGGGCTCTCCCATTCCATGGTTCTATTACTTACAACTAAGCCATCTACTTAATAAATTAAATATAAAAGTAGTAATGTCCCAAACCCAAACTGCTATGGAAATTTTGATAAGAGATTCTGATATACAAAATAAAGGACTTATATCAAAACTATATTCCTTGTTACTTAAACAATCATGCTCTAAACATCTTCCATATCAAAGTGCGTGGCAAGAAGACATTGCAGAAAATCTTTCAGATGAAATGTGGGAAAGCTTATGGAAATCGTCTAGTTTTAGAACAAGGGTAATATCCATTCGACAGCAGAATCTCAAAATAATGTCAAGGTGGTATATCACTCCACTCAAATTATCCCATATAACATCAACTCAGTCTCCATTGTGTTGAAGAATGCAACCAGGTTGGAAATTACGTGCATTGTTGGTGGCAATGTGATAAAATTAAGAACTTCTGGCTAGAAATACTGTCCATAATTTACGAAATAACCTCCGTTCAGATTCCACTAAAACCGGAAATTTTGTTTTTAAATACTTGGCCTGAAAATCTACGTAACAGGATACATAAACTCACTATAGACGTTATGCTTGACGTGGCTAAAACAGCCATTGCATCGTATTGGAAGGAGAAAACAGCACCTAGTTTAGAAATATGGTATAAGAAACTTTGGAGTCACTACTTAATGGATGCGGTCTCTAACAAACTGAATTGTAAGTCACAAAATCCTTCGAAATCTAATTTCACAGAAAAATGGTTCCCAGTGCTTGATCACCTGTCTCAAAAACACTTCATCTCACCCGAATGGGCTCAGTACCACAAATGGATATAATAGTAACGGAAGTCTAGTTCTATAAATTCTCACACTTATCTACTTCTTTCTTATCCTCTAGCTTTAAGATTTTTACTCAAAACTTTCAATTAGTATACGGTTTTATAGTAATAGTCAGTGTATGTTGATAAAATGTTTTTTGTCTCACCATTTCAATAGTTCAGAATGATTAAAAAATCTTTCATTCTAGTCTAAGGTTTGTCTATTGCATATATAACTGCCAGGATAGACTCTGTTCTGTACTGTGTGATGTATTGTAAGTCAAGAAACAGGTTATAACTCTGTACAAGCTCAGTGAATTTTTGCAGGATGTTATTGTAACCACAAAGATTAATTGTTGTTTGTTAGAACTGTCAGAAATGTTAAAAATAAAAAATGTCATTATAAAAAAAAAAAGAGGTGGCACCATATCGTGCCAAGCCGCCAGTGTGACCACAGCCACCAACTCATCTCCTAAAAGTGCTATATATGCAAAAGGTAGCTAATTTGTATGGAAGTGCAAGATAAAGGTAAAGGTTCCCTTGCTCGAAAGCCAGTCGAGTGCGACTCTAGGGTTGCGGTGCTCATCTCCGTTTCAAAGCCGAAGAGCCAGCGCTGTCCGAAGACGTTTCCGTGGTCATGTGGCCGGCATGACTAAACACCGAGGCGCACGGAACGCTGTTCCCTTCCCACCGAAGTGGTACCTATTTATCTACTTGCATTTTCTTGCTTTCGAACTGCCAGGTTGGCAGGAGCTGGAACTAGAGATGGGAGCTCACTCTGTCATGCAGCACCCGGGTCTCGAACTGCTGAACTACCGACCTTCCACAGCCTGCAGTTCAGCGTCTTAACCACTTGAGCCACCGCAGCAATATGCAAAAGGTAGCTAATTTGTATGGAAGTGCAAGATACCCCCCCCCTTTTATGGTATCCCATAAAAAAACTCATATTGCATATAATTAAATACATTTATTGGGGCTTTTGTGGGTTCCCCAGTAAATCATTTGCTTTCACTACTAAGAATCAATTGCTTTTGTTTGTATTTTGAGTAAAAAACAGTGCTATTAATTGGGTTTGCCTGTGTCCTTTAAAAAGTTTATATCTTTGGTACGTGGCATTACATTTTATGGCAGACATGGCCCAGCCCTCATAACAAATGACTGACACCCCTGCACTGTAGGCCCGTACAATCGCCCATCCTCCACTCATTTAAAAGCCAAGGCATTTCTTTCAGCTAAGTTACGTTAGTGTCCTCCAGTATATTATCAAGAGTTCAACATAACTTTCAACAGGTGCAGTTTGTGAAATGCCGAGCTGTGCACCTGGTGGCACTGGAGAAGTCACACACGCACATTTATATGCACACACGTTAAAGACCACAAGCGTGCTTTATGTGCATTTCTGTCAATGGGCTTGCAATGCTTTGGGTTAGGCCTTGGATCCCTTGTGTTGGGCTGATCGGGGCCGTTTAGACTTCAGCCCTGCCCAGGCTCACGACAGCCAGCCTAGATGTTCCTTTACCTTAAATGATTCCAGGAACCCTCCGTGGCCTCCGTTCTCCAGCTTGTCCTCCTCAGATCCCAGGCCAAGCATCAGCTGCGTGTGAATGTGGAGCTCATCATGCAGGTGGTCCAGAAGGGCAGCTCGCGTCCGGTCCTGGAACAAGGGCAGAAGGCGACCCAAGTCATCAATTTCATTCTCTACCAAACATTTTGAAGCAGGTTACAGAGCAAGAGTAACTGAACTGGAAAACAGAAATAATGGAACATGACATCAAGTATTGTCAGTGTTCCAAAATGCAATTAATAGCAGCAGTTACTTAAAAACAAGAACCAGCCAAGATCTCTACAAATGTAATTTTGAATTAAACAAAAAACATACCGGGCCCCTTTTGAAATTATTATAAAGAGGTGAGGAGGTTATTTTCATGGGGAAGGGTGTTCTACAACTCTGGTGCCACCACAAAAAGGCCTTGCTGCACATGGAGACTGATCTGGCCTCTCTGTGCTGTGGAATACAAAGCAAAGCCTCACTAGCTGCTGTCAGAACTTGGCTGGTGTCCATATGTGAGTAGATGCTTTCCAAGATACTCCAGATCCAAGCCATTTAGGACTTTAAAGCCAAATCCAGCACCTTCAACATGGCCCAGAAACAGATTTCCTTTGAACACAGCTTTTGTGCAGAGGAACGCAACGGCCATTTGCAATGCTGAAGGGTGTCCCCATAGTTCCATTGAGGCTGGAAAGACATCTTCAGGTCTGAAGGAACTTCTCGCTGCATGGAAATCTGGGGTGTGCATAACAATACACATAGCTCATGTTGATGTCTATGAGGAATCTACAGAAATGCAGTCTTGGTTACATACTCAGTCTAAAGCTGAAATAGTGGCTATTTGTAATGCTGTGTTATACTGAAAGAACTTTGGGAGGGAAATGTGAGTCAGCAACACAGAGATGAAAGGACAGGTCCTGAAAAAACATACCTATGGAAGGCAGGAATATTCTAGTAGCTGTCTCTAGCTAACACCAGTACTCGGATTCTCTTGCAAAACCACTTCCAAGGCTACAGGCCAAGAGGGTGACCTGTCTGTTTCAAAGCATCAAAAAGGCCTGCTATTGAGGCTTGAAGGACACCTTACAGTTTGTCACAAACATGGTCTGGGCTCCTCTGGTCTGACCTTGATTCTGACAGACACTAGGCGCAGGGGGGGCGTGTTTTTCCAAGCACACGGACCCCAGTCCAGACCAGGAGAGCAACCTGGGGGAGGGAGAGGCATGTGGAGCATGTCGGGGTCTGAGTCCCAGATGAAACCAGCTTACCTCAAGCTTTGCGAATTTGTCTGACTTGCAACAAGCGTTTTCTGCATTGATCAGCTTAGTGAGAAGAAACTCACGGAATTCAGAGTCCTGGAAAGGGATGGAACAGAAGAGGTGAGGCTGGCAAATCCCAGACCCCTTCAGTGCTCAGGTGAAGCTGCCTGAGAGCAAATCAGATCACTAGCCCGTCCGGATCAGCAGCACAGCCCATTCAAACAGGCAGAGTACAAATACGAATGAATGAATGAAGCTGCCTTGGATCTGGTTTAGATTTGTCTTCTGTGGCTGCCAACAGCTCTCCAGAAGGAGAAAAGGTATTTCCTAGCACCTGCAACTTTTGTTCCTTTGAGATGACACAGACTGAACTAGGCATCTTCTGCGTGCCAAAGAGGTGTTCTGCCCCTCCCCAAAATGGAACACATGAAGACACCTCACCCCACATCCGATTACCAACAGGGCCTGCTCTGCCACTGAGCCACAGCCCCCCCCCCCGAATGGGATCTCAAGTGATCACCAACACAGTTTCCAAATATCATGGATTATTTTAGCATTAGATCTATCTCTGCAGATCCCTTGTCCATCCCTGAATCTGGAAGATGTTCCTTCCACAAGGTGAGAAGGAAAAGGCTTGATGGGCAAATTCCCCCGGCTTGATCCACAGTTGGTTTATTGTCTCTCGGAGCTTCCTCAGAGAATTTCTGGTCTTCTTCAGAGTCTCGGGGTACAGAGTGTCCTCTTTCTTATGGGTCCTCCACTGTTGCCACACATTGCCCTTGGAAGGGGGTGACCAGTGGCAAGGACAGCTGGCAACACTGAAGGCCTCATCCTGACACTGCCCTGCCCTTCAGCTAGCCCGTTCAAAGCTGCACCTCGCAAACGACAGACAGGAGGGGGGAGGAATCACAAGGTACAGTTTTCTTGGGACCACACCACTTGGGAATGCAGTGGGGGGGGTCACATCAAAGCCTCAGGAGCAGGGCCACTGGGAAAGAGGGCGAGCCAACTCCCACGGCTTACTTCTTGAAACACAGGTGGGTTTGGCAGTGATGGGCTGAACGAAGGGACGTCTTCTCGGGCAGTGACTGCTACCTATCAGAAAGAATTTTTAAACAAATATTAGCAAGAAATGTACAAACAGCAATCCAGAGTTGCAACAGACCTAGCATGTAAGAAGAAGAGCCCTACGGGATTGGACTGTGAGTCCATCTAGTCCAGCAGCCCTTTTGCAACACCTGAAACTTTGCAGGGGAGCGTTTAATCCTCTCCTACCCACCCATCTCTGGGGCAGAGACCCAATCTCTGGACTGTGAGTCCTGCAATGCAACTCAGGACCTAAGAGAAGCATCTGAACCTCCACACTAAAGCTGCACTTCGACGTGAGATGAAATGCAGATATTAGTCGTGACAACCTCAGTTGTGAGCACGCATTAACAACAGTAATTACATATGGGGAAAAACAACACACTCACTAACTGTATTAACTACACACGCACAAAATTGCAAAGCAGCCTTTCTGGAAGGGGCCGTTGTTTGAGCACACTCAAGGCCAGCTTTGCCCCAACCTCTGTGCCTCCGGTTTTAGAAATTACGTATCTGAGTGTGTTATCTGTAGCTGTGTTTGCTGACAAGTCAGAATGCTTCTGGGCTAATATGTGCTCTAAGCCACAGGACAACCCGCGGCATACAGATGCATTTCAGCCCGTCAGGCAAACACAACTACAGATAAAAATGTTGGATGCATCATTGACTGCAAATATTGAACAGGGGTGAAAGCTGGAATTGCAAGGGTGTGAAAGTCCAACAGACATTTGCTGTCCGGCCTTTGGCTGGCCTGATGCCACTTGGGTGTCGAGGGCAGAGATGAGGTAGTGAAATCTGCTGCCATCTCACAGATAGGCTCATAGCAGCCCCCCCCCCACAGCCCACGAAGCACAGCTGCCTCTCAGAGGGTAAGTGACTGACTATGTAGGAGAGGCTTAGCTGAGCAGGAACTCTCTATCTCTGGCCAAACAGTCCCAAAGCAGTTGCTTCTCAGCTCTAGCACCAATGTGCACGCACGCACACACGCGCACCCCTTCTTGTTCTTCTTACTTTGTAGGACGTATTGTCTGTTTCAGAGTTTTCCACCTGGACAACAATATAGGCATGTAGAAAATTGGACGCAATCATGTCTGGGACAAAGGGAGTGTTTTCTTCTTGGAATATAATAGCCACAATATCGTTGCCGATGTGTCTCTTCCGCTGGAGCTGAAAAGGTGAAAGAGGGGGGGGGGACCCAGTCCTTGAGAATGAATGACAGTCAGTCTGAAACACCAACAACAATGAATGGCATATTTACATGAAAGAATGACTGTCGCGGAAACGTTTACAAGAATGAGTGCATGACTATCACTTGGAAAGGAACCGAGTGGGAAGAATGGAAGGATGGGATTCGGGAATGTGTACAGGAATGAAGGCCACATGGACTGGTCTGCAACCTATTGCACTTGAGCCACCATGGAACCAAATAGGGCTACTTCAGAAAGAAAATGAAATCCTTAAAGTTAAGGTGTGCTGGAGAGGAAGATAGGATGATAGAATAATCCAGACATGAAGGGAAGAGCAGGCAAAGATTTGTATGAAACTAAAATGTTTCTTAGAGATGCTTTACCAAAATGGAAGTGATAAGAGGGGAACAGCTGCCAGTCATCCGAAGTGCAAGAAATGTGCAGGCTTATGCCACTGCATTGAAACAACTGTGCAAGGTGATCCTCAGGTCTGTCTGTTACTTCTTATGAGACTCCCATGTGTGCCACGTCCAAAGGACTCACAACCACCAGCATTTAGGCTGTGCAGACTTTATTGATTATTCATCAACTTGTCAGTCATCAGTAATGTCAAGTTATACAGTTTCAGTTATGCAAAAGTCCTTTCTTATGCTCCCGCTTTCTTGCCCTCTTGCTCTAAATCTTGACACTTGGCTCTCGCTTTGTGAAAAGCCACAGAACCCTGGTCTACACTGATGAAGGAGTGTCTCTGAAAAGCTGACGAGAGTGAATGAGCGTGGCCCTGAGATGTTTCCAGCTCCAGAACTCCTTCATAGCTCGGCTCCTGAGTCCTTGCCGGGCTACGAAACTCCCCACCCGCCCCACTCTCACGGGCCGTCACAGTGCGAGGATCTGCTTGCACCAGCTGCCAGTGGCAAAGGCTTCAGGGGCTGGCGCTGCCAGGCCGCTGCCAAAGCTCCATTACTCCAAGCCCAAAACAGCAGCAACCGCAGTGGGCCCCCTTATCTCTCTGGAGGCAGAGGGGCACTGCCCGCCATGGGAATGAGGCCTCCCCACCGGAGGTCACCACCAGACATGGAGGCAGGGGGCTCCCGCTCTGTCACTCCTATGGGGAGTTTGCAGCACTGGCTTCCCTGGGCCACTGTCCACTAGGGGTGGGCACTCAGGTATACCTGAGTGGAAATTATACTGGGAATTAGCTGTTTTGGTTCATATCGAGGATGCCCAAAATGACCCAAAATTCTGGGAGTAATGAATATTTGTTTCCTGGAATTTCAGGATTCCACAGAAGTGCAGGAGCGGGGGGGGGGGCAGGCCAGCCAAAGGCATCTCCTTCTCTGAGTAGGACCTGCTGGTTGTCCACCAGGGCAGGTGATCAAGAACAGTTGCCACTCAGCACTACCAGTAAGGAAGAGACACCACCCGTCCGCCTGCCTCCTGCCTTTTGCTGGAACGCCCCCCCAAAAAACTGGAGTCAACCTTAGCCCTGACCTGGACAGCCCAGGCCAGCCCGATCTCCTCAGATCTTGGAAGCTAAGCAGGGCCGACCCTGGCAAGCATTTGGATGGGAGACCTCCTTGGAATACCAGGGCCGGGAGGCCAGAGGCAGGCCCTCAAGCCACTTCTCTGAAAGTCCTTCATGCACCAGTAGGAGTTACCAGAGGTTGCCATGACTACCCCCCCCCAAACTGGAGTCGACCTTGCCAGGCTGGTCACTAACAATCAACCATCTTGGCTTTCAACGACCAAATCTGAATATACTTTTGTGTTTGCAAGCATGCCCATTGTGGCAAAAAGTGAGCACCACATAGGTAATTCTTGCAGAGTAATGAGATTTATTTATTTATGTAAGAAGTTTATATGCTGCCTCTCCAGAGACTGGCTTAAAGTGGCTTGCAGATAAAACAATTCCATGAAAATAGCAGCCTATATGATCAACATTCAGAACAAGCCACGGGAAGTAACCACTGAGCAGCCTTAAAAGAATACATAAAACAGCTATTAGGCTAGAAAACAGACCACAAGTCAGCTTTTTTAAAAAAATCAAATCATTTTATGGGTAAAAAGGTCTGTTCTGGCCTGGCAGGTAAAAGCCTCGGGGAGGGGGGGAGATTCCAAAGGGTGAGGGGTGCCACTACTGAAAAGACCCTGTCTGTAGTGCCCCCACCTGCTCCTTTTTTGGGTTTTCTGTATCCATCATAACATGGACTTGCTCTGGTTAATTACAAGTTTGCTCCCAAGGTTGGAGCAGCCAATCAGTGTCATCATGAGAAGGAGTTCTCCCTCCCCTTGCCCCCCCAAAGCAGGTTCTCGTTCCTGAGAACAAAAAAGATGCCAAGTGAGCAGTCTCAATGCAAAACATGCACATTCAGGCAAATCTTATTTGTCCCCACCAGTAGTTCAAAGCACAGACATTTTACCTGGAACTGAGCTCCACAGGTAAGCCATTCAGTCACAGCTGACAGGTACCCTGGGGGGGAAGTCATTTGCACCTTTCCATCTGCCACTGATACACACAATGCCCATTTCATAAATGCAAACTCATCAACGGCTCTGCTGTTACACATCGAGCCCTCCCCATATTGTATCAGCAAAGCAAGGTCATCACTCCGTTACCTGCTGTGGATCTCCCTCGGTGAATGGCAGCTTGGTGGAGACATGAAACATGATCTCTCTGTCTCTAAACACTGTGTACACGGACTCTGTGCCTGTCTGGCCGTGCGTGACATCCAGACCTCCTCGGAAGCTAAAACGGTCAAGGACAACATGCACCTTGGTTGCCAAGTCCAGTCATACCATTTTCAAAAAAGATTGTTTGCACATTTCTATATTATTTAATAGGACCTGGTAGAGGAAGACAGTCTGAAACTGAAATTGACGATTTAGGGGAGACAAACCCACGTTTAATCCATGTCTTACTCTGAACCATCCCCAGTCCTTTTCCTCTCAGACTCTCCCACTGACATTGGGTTGGCGTTGCCATCTTGGTACCCAGGGCAGGTAGACAGAAATGCAGCATACAGGAGCTGAAACAGCACTTCACTCTACTTAAAACTCTGGTGAAGTTTCATCCCCCCCCCAATTTACATAGGATAGCTTATTATTATTTTTTAAAGGAGTTCCAACTACCTACCTATTTTTACCTCACTCTTCCTCCAACAAGCTCAGGACACCAAATATGGTTCTCTGTTCCCCCCTACATTCTTACAACAACCCTGCAAGGTAAGTTAGGATGAACGAGTGAGCGGTCTGTGAACCCTGCCACCACTCCACTAAGCCATGCCGGAAGCCTTCCTCTCGCCTAAGGAGCCTTCCAGCACCAAAACGCTCTTTCTTGAATGGAAGAGCCCCTTAAGTCAGAGGAAAGTGTCTTAAACTGGAAGGACTTCTACCCAGTGAGTGAATGCCTCAAAGGTCACCCGACGAGCTTCACGGCTGAGGGAGGGTTTGAACGCAGGCCTCCCTGCTCCTAAAGTCCAACACTCTCACCACACCACCGCATTAGTTAGATTGTAAGCCTCATTATATTAGTAGCATTTAGAAAATATTAACTTGCTAATTTCGACACTTACCCTGAGATGCATGCCTATTGATAGGAAGATGCAAACAACTCAGAGACACAGACCATTACATGCAGTATTGATTCAAATTAAATTCTGACCAGAAAGTTTACAGTTAGTTTTCCATCTGTTTGTTCTGTATGCCAAACACCTCACTGATTCTAGTTTAAGCAGGAGAATTTCTAAAATTAACTTTGGAGGAGCATGTAGAATCTGTTACCGTCTGTTACCGCTTTTGATTTCTTCAGCCATTTGTATCTTTGTTCTTAGTGTGCGCCTGTCAGAGTCCCAAGTCAATCCAGCTCAACAACGTTCCTTGATAAAGGTGCAGTTTATTGAGAATGGGGAATGGGGAATGTCAGGAATGGGGGTTAGGCGGGAAGACACAAACTATTATACCCAGTTCATACAGGTCCCCCTGATGGGCGCAGACCAGTAAGCAGAAGCAAGCAAAGCACACTCAAAAGCAAACAGCCCTCGGCTCGCAGCAGGAAAAAGCAGCATGGCGGACGGCTTCAAGGCCACAGCAGAGATAACGGGAAGAAACCTGGAGTGCATTCCAGGAGGAGGGAGGGCAGCAGAAGGAAGGTGGGGAAGCGGGGAGAACACAGCCCAAACCATGGCGGCATCAGCCAACAGTACCTGTGCATTAATAAACACTACAAAAAACAATCTTAAGATGCTGTCACACATGACTGGATCAATATTCTTTTCATGCGGTATTTCACCAACATTCACGTGTGCTCCTGTGCATTGGTAAAACACTTGCAGGGAAAACGTATGCATGCAAAGTTCCTTTAACCTACCCTTTGAAATCCTGTAGTGTGATGGTATCTCCCAATAAATTCAAAAAGTTCTTGAATGCAGGACTCTCTTCATTGTTCCCAAACAGTTCTTCTTCCTGGGTCTGCAAAGTTCACCAAACCAATGCAGTGAACAGCTTGCTTGCCTTTTAACCATAAAGTCAGAGGACCCAATTTGGGGTCAAAGAACACATTTCAGGAAAGATCCATAATGAGATTTCTCAATATTTTGATTTTTACTCTAATGTAAGCCAAGGGAAGAGCTACAAATCTGATTGAAGCTGGTGGCTCTAGGTGTACCGTCTGTTCTATCAAAATTGCCCCGCCAAGCTACTTTTAACCCCAAGGGGAAAGGTAGGCACCTCAGTTTTCCTCCTCTGGAGCAAACTTGTGGAACTCCCTGCCACCAGATGTGGTGAAGGCTACTGTCTTGAATGGATTTAAAAGAGGGTTGGGTAAATGGATGGAAACTAGGTCTGGCCATGGGAGCTGAATGGGATCTCCAGATGGAGATGCAGAGCCCCTCTGATGGTGGGTGCTGGGGAGCTACTGGAAGTGAGGGCTGACTGTGGCGTCGGGCGGGGGGGGGGCTCCTGTTGGAAAAAACAAGAGCTACTGGACTGGAGTAACTGTTGCTCTGACCCAACATGACGGCTCTTCTGTCCTGAGGCAACAAACGGCTGCTGGAGGGGTGTGGAAGAAGGGCAGGAGGGAGGGGCAAGCAGCCCCCTCCCCCACGGCATTGCCCCAACCTAACAGGCAATCTGATCACAGATCTTCCCTCCAACAAGTTGCCTGACCCTTAATTTCTACACTAAGGCTTGAAAAAGACCAGTTCCCTTTGAGGGCTTTCTCACAACAGGCAAGAGGTGCTTATCTGTGCACAGCTCACCTGCGGCTGAGGTTTAAATAACCCAACAGGTGGTTTAAATCACACAGAGATGTGGGGTGGGGGGCTGATCCCACGGTCTTTCTCAAGGATTTGGCCTCGCACTGATGGAAGCTCAGACAGTTGGATTACAGACCCACGCCCCCCCACACACACTGCTGGGGCAGCTCGGCCTTTACGGCACGGGGCCCTGCTAGCTTTGGCGAGGTTTGGCCAGTGCGTTCCAGAACATGCAGAAGGACCTGGAAAAAAACCCCCAGTAACACATAGTTTGTGTGTCATTTTTATCTGATTTTTTATAATTGAAAAGCAGCAATGGGAAGCTGCAACCCTGAGCAGAGAACCTACTCAGTTCTCCCCCCCCCCATGTTCTTTGGCTCAAAATCTCCTTCTTGCCCACCTGCTTCCCTCCCCATGTGAGGAAAAGAGCCATGGGGTATTTTCCGTATGCAGATGGAAAACCAAGGGAATTAGAATTCCGTGAGGAAAACAAATCAAACACCTCCATCCTGCAGCCTCCTTTGTCTCCTTTTCATTTTATAATACAGGCGATTTAGCCATGAAGCCTCAAGACAAAATCAAAACTGATCAATGACAGCAACACGCCATGTCTCTCAGCCAGAACAGCCCCGCGGGCCGAGAGGATGCGCAGGTGTCTAACTCACGTGCTTCTGTTGAGGAGAGGTCCTGCACAGCAACCCACACTGGCCCTTCTTCTCCTTCGTGGGGAAAGGCCAAAAGGCCGCTCTGAAAGGGGCTGTGCCATTCAGCCAGGAGGCCCCTGGCAATACCGGACAGAACTTACACAGTCGGGCAGGTTCCTCATTCTGGCTTATTCTGATTTATTCTCCTCCTCCTCCTCCTCCTCCTATTTTGCCTCATCCTAACCACCCCATCCACACTTCCCTCTCACTTTGGACATTGCACTGGGGATTGTCCACACATTTTCAAGCTTACCTTCACAATCACAGGTGTTAGAAACTTTTGTGTCTTTAAAAAATGAAAGCTCCGCTCCCCAATATGTAACATTACACAGAAACTTCACCCCACCCCCCCACACAAACCCCGAATGCTTGTACAGAATCCCTGAACATGCCCTTCTCAGGCATTGCATATGACAGCATATACAAGGAGAATGTGTTGCACATGATTCTCCTGAAATACAGCATGTAGCACATTCTTCCCATAAACATGGCCAAACGTTATATACCTGAAAAGGGCTGAAAACCAGACCTTCTGCTCCAACCTTTTGTTTCTCCGGGAAGCTCACGAGCAAACAAAGAAGGCAAGAGCATGGTCCTCTTTTTTGCACTCTCCTTCTGTGCCTTCCTCTGAACACGGAGGCTCCATTTAAGCAACCAAGGCTGTTGTCTGACCTACCCCCCTGAATACACCTCAACCCCACCTACAGGAACACTCTCAAAGGGACCAGCACACCAGCCCCGCTGAGGTCCCTGCGTGACAACAATCCCCAGTGCAATGTCCACAGTGAGAGGGAAGTGTGGATGGGGTGGTTAGGATGAGGCAAAATAGGTTTGTGACAACTATAATAAAATGTACTCTGGGCATAAACATCCTTCATTTTTCTACAGAGATTTTTAAAGCTATTTATATTTATTTAGATATTTATACTTTGCTTTTCTCTCCAATGGAGACCCAAAGCACCCGATGTCATTCTTCCCATCTCCATTTTCACCCTCACAGCCGTGTGATACGGAGAAGGCTGAGAGAAAAGGCGACTGGCCCAAAGCGACGTTCCATGGTAGAACTGGATGCCGGGAAGGCCAAGTAGGGGTGAGGAGACCAAAGGAGTCCGAAGGAGGAGACCAAAGGGGCCAGGAACACTGAGGAGGCTGGGCCTTGCGTGGGAGAGGGGGCCTGGTTCGCTGCCAATGGGCAATGAGGCGGACGCGGCAGGCAACCTTGCACACTGCTGGGCAGCATGGGATGCCGGTGGGCAGTGCCAGGTGGCCTTTGGGGAGCCTCAGGTGGCCTCAGGTGACTTTGGCTGTCTCCGGAGGCTGTTGGGGCTCGCCAGGGTTTGCTGGAGGCAAATCCAACTGAGTTCATTTTTATCCTGCTGTTCCTCTAAGGAGCAAAGGGAAGCCATGCGTGGTTCTCCCTTCCCTAACTTATCTTCACAACTATCATGCAAGGTAGGGGCCGTGGACATAAGAACACACGGACCTAAGAGAAGCCAATGTTGGATCAGGCCGGTGGCCCATCCAGTCCAACACTCTGTGTCACACAGTGGTCAAAAATACCAGGTGGCACCAGGAGGTCCAGCAGTGGGGCCAGGACACTAGGAGCCCTCCCACTGTTGCCCCCCCCCCCAAGCACCAAGAATACAGAGCATCCCTTCCCCCAGAACGAGAGTCCTTACCTATACCTTTTGGCTCACAGCCACTGAGGGACCTCTGCTCCATATGCCTATCTAATTCCCTTTTGAAGCCGTCCATACTTGTGGCCACCGCCACTTCCTGTGGCAGTGAATTCCATGTATTAATCACTCTTTGGGTGAAGAAGGACTTCCTTTTATCTGTTTTAACCCGACCGCTCAGCAATTTCATGGGGTGCCACCAACAAAGGGTGATTGGTCCCAGCAAACGTCATGCAGACTGGAGTGCTGAAGCCAGATCTTTGACTTCCTGGTCTCTAACTGCTGTACCACTCTGTCTCCAGTGCAATCAAATAGATGCATAGTGGTCTGAAAGGTTGCATTTATTTAAGATATTTCTATGTGGTCTCCTCAGAGTCCTGTTCATGGGGCTGCCACCCTCCGAGGGGGGGAAGGGGGGTTGGCATTCTTCCAGAATGATAACTGACCTCCAGGCTACAGAGCTCAGGACCGGGGGCGGGGGGGAACGGCTGCTTTGGAGGAAGGACTCCGCTGTGAGAGGTCCCTGCTGAGCTCCCTCCCCTCCCCCCCAGCTCTGTCCTCCCCAGGCGCCACCCCCAGATCGCCCGGGATTTCCCCACCTGGAGTTGGCAACCCTGTCTTTCTTGAGGTGGCACGGCTCTTGTTCCCATAGGAATTGGCCATGGATATAACGGCATGGCTACTCGAGAGCCAGCATGGTGTCGCGGCTAGAGTGTTGGATTAGGAACAGGGAGAACCAGGCTCAAATCCTCACTCTGCTACAGAAGTCGGCTGGGCGACCTCGGAACAGTCTCACGTTCTTAGCCTATCGTGCCTCACAGGGCAGTTGTGAGGATAAAAAACAGAAGGGGAGAATTATAGGAAGTCACCTGGGGTCCCAGCTGGGGAGAAAGGTGGGGTATAAAGGAACTAAATAAACATATACTTACCTGCTGAAACTTCTGGTAAATCACACCAAATTTGAATGTGTTGTTGACCTCATGTTCATCATAGGAAACAATCATCTGAGAGGCCTGGAATGGAAAGAACGCACAGAGGGTGTAACGCTTCACGCCAAGATATCTTTGCCATAAAATGAACTTTTTTTAAAAAATTAAAAATTAAAAATCATGGCATTTGTTTTCTTCCATCATGGAATCCGAGGCAGCTGGTTTCTCTGTGGAAATCCATACTCTGGGCTGACTGCCGTGGCCTTCCTTCCCATCTCCTGGCCCCACGAGCGCCTTTCCTCCCTCCCTCCCCTTCACTCCACGTGACACTACCCTCCCCTGCAGCCAGGGGTTCAGAGGCCACACGTTGCATGGAGAAGACCCACTTCCAAGCACAAAAGACAATACTGAGCTACAGGGACCCACAGGATGGCACCCCCCCCATTAAACGGACCGTCTCAGACTTTTCTCAGCCAAAGAAACTGGAGAGCTCCTGCCAGTCAGAGGAAAGAATAGTCTCACTCAATATAAAGGTAAAAGGTAAAGGTTTCCCTTGCTCGAAAGCCAGTCGAATCCGACTCTAGGGTTGCGGTGCTCATCTCCGTTTCAAAGCCGAAGTGCCAGCGCTGTCCGAAGACGTTTCTGTGGTCATGTGGCCAGCATGACTAAACACCAAGGAGCACAGAACGCTGTTACCTTCCCACCGGAGTGGTACCTATTTATCTACTTGCAGTTTCTTGCTTTCGAACTGCTAGGTTGGCAGGAGCTGGAACTAGAGCTCACCCTACCATGCGCCAACTCGGGTCTCGAACTGCTGAATTACCGACCTTCCACAGCCTGCAGTTCAGCGTCTTAACCATTTGAGCCACCGCAGCTCCCACTCAATAGAAGGCAAATTCTTATTTATTGCCATTCTTAGTGCATCAAAATGGCTGCCTGGGTTGGAAATGGATGGCACGAATTAAGAGGTTGGCAGGAATAGAAGCATTTGAGAGCTCCACGTGCCACATCTCCTGTGCAGCCAGAATCGGGGGCCAAAAGCAGGTCTTTATGGAGAGGCCAGTTCAGACACCCCAAAGGAGTGTGCCTATTGACATCTCAAATATCCAACAGCTTCCTTCAGACCAACGGACTGGCGATTCATTTTTTATTTCCCACGAAGGACTCCTTGGCACCCCTCTGCTTGCAGTGGGCTCATTTCGACTGGAGTTTGGCTTCTTGCGAGAGGCGGCCACCTCCCAGCAAGAGGAGCCATTCTCGGGTGTGATTGGTCAGTTCTTCCTTGCGCCCCGCAGGTGCCGCCTCTGCCCCTTGTTTGCCAGCGACAACTGCAAGGACTCCAATCAATCCCTGACGAGGCTTCTTCTTCCATTCTGGGGAGCTCTGCTGTTCCCGTGGGGGTCGTGGGGGTGGCCAGGGTGGCCTGGGGCCCAAGCATCAGTTCAAACTTGTGAGAAGCCTCAAGCACAGAGAGAGAGAGACACTCACAGACTCACACGTTGGTGAGCTACTGGCTTGTGCTTATCATGAGCCACGATGGGGGGCGGGGGCGGGACGACCCTGTTTTTATTTCTGAAATGACATCAGTGGACCATATCACAAGAATTAAAGTTCTCCTGGGAATGCAATGTGAACGTTCTGCCTAATGGAATCTTTACCCTGCGCCTTCCTTCAGGGCGGTCTGTCTGGCTCTCCCTCCACCCTCTCATCCTCCCAACAGCCCCTCCTGTGGAGGAGGTCAGGTTGAGAGGGAGCAACTGGCCCAGGGCCACTCCCGGAGCTTCATGGCTACATGCGGATTTGTGCCTGGACCTCCTGGACCAATATTCTAGCCACACTACGCTAGGCGAACGCTCCAGTCCAGTCCAACCCACCCAAACGCTTTCCTGAGAAATCCAAAACAGATTTTCCTGATGACCACTTGGACCACTGGGATTTCTCCCCTGACCCATGCATGTCTACTCAGAAGTAAATCCCACTGGGCTGGATCCAGCCTGCTTTTCCACTTCGCATTGCTTACTGCAGCCCCATCCCACATGGCCTTTGTGAGCGCAGGTCTCTTGATTGTTGGTGTCTGAAGGGAACCCTGCCTTCCTGGTGCACCAGCAGAAGAGTTGACTGGGTCCAAACCCTTGGGTTCAAGGGGCTTCCTCTGAGGCAAATGGGCACTAAATTATTGAAAGATATGCCTGGATTCCCAATGTATCCTGTGAAGTCACCCCCCCCAAAAAAACACACCCTCTTAGGAAGCGTTGAGCAGAAAGCCTTCCAGGGATCAGGAGCATGGCAGAGCTCCAAACTGGGCCAGCCCAAGACGCACAGTGACCGCGGCAGGCACGTGCGCGCGCGCACCTCCCCAATCAACAGAGAAGTCTAGTATGAATACCTCACTTGGTGGGTATTCAAAATGAACACAGTAAACATGAAAGGAGGCAGGCTCGACAAAAGCCCTCCATGCTCTGTCGTGGCGACTAGAGAAGACCCGACTCAACAGCTATGGGGAGTCAGAGGCCAGTTCAGGCCAAGCCAGCAGAGGAGGCCCCTCTTGCCTCTTGGCGCCCATCAAGGCCAGGCGCTTCAGGTGGTCGCCTCCGTTTGCCCCGTGGTCAGGCCGGCCCCGGTTCCAAAGCAACCAAGTCTCCGCAGCCTTGGCTGCACTCCCGCGAGGGGTACTTGTTTCTCCCCCCACCGAAGGCTTGGACTCTGACACTGCGATCCTTTAGGGCTTTTGTTCTGTTTCGAAACCAGTCCTCAGTCTCCGCCTTTGGCCTGCTCTTACCTTGGGGTACAGCACGGGGCTAAACCTCAGTCCGGTCGCATCATCACAGAAGGCCTGTCCAGAAAGAGAAGAGAGTCGTGACTGAGAAAGCAGGCGACGGAGCAGGCTCTTCCCACCTGGCTCTTCCCACCTGGCCTCTCCCTGCTCCCAGGAAGTCTGCTTCCTTCCAGTCTTCGCTGCATCCTGAGACACGCTGGTTGTGGGGCTGGGAAGGTTTACCCTTCTCTGACATTGATGCTATGCAATAATAGGTCCATCAATAATAAGACCATGACCCTGCGAGATTATTACTGCAGCACAGAAGGTGGGCCTGGCATGCATGACTGAGCCCTGGGTGCGGGAGGGAGAGACCGTGGCTCTGTCACAATCCCCCCTCCCCCCCCCGGTTTCTCACTCCTTCATCAATCCCAAATTAATGGGTGGGGAGGGTGGCAATACTCCTACGGAAGACTTTTCCCGTCAGGACACTCCCCGCCCCCCAAATCTCCAGCACTGATTGTGAGGGCCTGGACTGAGAGGTGGAAAAGAGTTTGGCTGCCTGGCTGGTGCCCTGACTGCCTTCCGCTCCAGCAGGTACCCCGCCGAGCCTGCTGGAGGCCGCATCAGGCTGGGCCTTGGAGCTCCCCAGAGGCTCTTGGTGCTGGGGGGACTTCCGTGTCCATGCCGACGCTGCTGCCGCCGCCGCCTCCTCCTCGAGGGCTACAGACCTGGTGTCACCCACTGCCGCCCTGGGGCTCTCTCGGTTTGTATCAGCTCCCACGACATGAGCAGGCCGCATGCTGGATCTGGGGTTTGGGATGGGGATAACTGTGGATCTGGCTGCTACTGAAGCAGCGTCCTGGTCAGACCACTTGGCCCCGAGGGCCCAGTTGAGCATCCCACCCCCGCCCGGTTTAGGCAATGAGCTAGTTTATGTTCGCCTGCGGAGCCAGATCGATCCCATTCGTTTCCAGAACGCTCTGTGGGATCCAGTGCCCCTTGGTGATCTGTGAGGTGAGCTGGTAGAGGATTGGCATTGCTGACTCTCTGAAGCCATCTACGAAATTGCTCCCTGATGCCCTCTTCACTCCCACTCCAACCAGGCTCCCTGGTATACGGCACAGCTACGGAGGATGAAAAGGGGGAAGATGGCTAGAGCGAGGATGGTGGCCTACTCGTGACAAAGCAGTAAGAGCATCTTACGGGACACTTATGAACGCCTGTGAAATGACAGTGAAGGCCACAAAGAAAGAATTCTATGCGGCTTCACTGCGTCCGCAAGCTCTCGCCCAGCTCAATTATTTAGAATAATTATGTCTTCAATCTCCCTCCCGTAGAGGAACCAAAAAGATAGCAAATTGGCTATTAGCTGTGAGGCTTTTGCGAGCTATTTTGCAGATAAAATCTTGTCGCTTCGCCAGGACTTGCCGGCCACATTTGATACAGTGCGTGAACTGGAAGCTTCTTGGCCAGTCCCATCGACTCTCGGGGTGAGGCTGAGAGGACCCTGGCTGCTGCGAAGCCCACCACTTATCTCCTGGACCCACGTCCTTCGTGGCTGGTAAAGGCCGGCAGTGTTGGTATGCAGGTCCCCCCGGGAAATATTATCAACTTATCCCTGAGTTCAAAGATATTCCCAGGATCTTTAAAGGAGGCAGTGATGAGACCGCTCTTGAAGAAACCAACTATTGATCCAGCCAACCACCACCCAGTGCCGAACCTCCTGTTCCTGGGCAAGGTAGTTGAGTGGGTGGTAGCGGAACAGCTCCAGGCTTTCCTGGATGATGCCTCTATCCTGGATCCATTTCAGTCCAGCTTCCACCCTGGCTATGGGACCAGTGTTCCCTCTAGGCAGAGTGAGTGTGAGCTAGCTCTCAGTTTTTTAGCCTCTGGCTCACACATTTTTGTCTTCGCTCAGGAAGGAGGGCTCCAGAGCAAACTAATTTGTGCAGTTGCCAAATCGCTGGCTCACAACTTTAATGCCAGTAGCTCAGAAAGTAGAATTCTTGCTCACAAGACTCCAGAGCTTAGAGGGAGCATTGTATGGGATGCAGACAGTTCTGGTCGCCTTCACAGACGACCTCCGGAAACACCTGGTAGTGCTGCTGTTATTACTTGATTTAACAGCAGCATTTTGACACGGTCGATTACGATCTTTTGACCCACCGCCTCATCAAGGTGGGGATATGAAGGACTGTCCTGCAGTGGCCTCTCTCTTTCCTCCAAGGTTGGGGGACAGAGAGAGGCGCTTGGGGAGAGGATTTCACTGTGTTACCCTTTGGTCTGCAGCGTCCCCCGGGGGCAATCCTCTCCCCTGTGTTATTTAATGTCTATATGCGCCATCTTGCCCAGCTGGTATGGAGGTCTGGGCTGGGTTGTCATCAATACGCTGATGGCACCCAGCTCTATCTGTGGATGGACCAGATGCCGCCCCAGAGGTTCTGGCTAGGGCACTGGAGTCTGTGGCTGATTGGCTGAAGGAGAGTCCACTGGAATTAAATCCATCTAAGATGGGTGTCCTGTGCCTGAGCCGTGGGGGAACGGAGCCAGGGCACTGTTAGCACCAGCGTCGACAGTGAGAAGTCTGGGTGTGATTCTGGATGCATCACTTTCAATGGAGGCCCAGGTCATGAGGACCATCGCCAGGTCTGCTTTTTACCCTCTCCGGCAGGTCAGGCAATTGGCCCCCTATCTCTCCCCTAGTGACTTAGCTGCAGTGATCCATGGGTCTGAAACTCGCTCCATGCAGGGCTACCCTTGAAACTGATCTGGAAACTCCAGCTGGTTCAAAATGCAGCTGCGCATGTCCTTACTGGGACTTCAGAATGAGCACATATACCGCCTGTGCTCCACCAGCTGCACTGGTTTCCAGTGGAGTACCGGATTCAAGGTTTTGGTGCTGACTTTTAAAGCCCGATGTGATCTGGGGCCATCCTCTCTGCAGAACCTTCTCTCCCACGATGTCCCCCAAAGAGCACTGCGCTCCTCCCCCACCCCCAGCCCCCATGATCATATTCCAGATTGTAAGCTCCTCTAGGCAAAGACTTGTCTTATTATTTCTCTGCAAAGTAACAAACATGTTGATACCGCTATAGCAACTTCAACACAGAGAGTGGGAGAAATTATGGTTTCCCACAGGGAGCCAGTAGCCCTGTTCACAAGTCACAGTGAATGTGCCTGTGCGTCCTCTGTGTGTGTGTGTGCACATCTGTTTGTCAGAAGGAGCCACCATCCATTCCCTTTGCCACTGAAGCCCGGGACCAGGGCCTGGACCAGTGTGGGGATTGTGTTAAACGTTCAGCTGTACGTGCACTGAAGGTAACATGAGAATTACCCAATGCACTTAAAAAAACACACACACAAGTGTACAGTGTGCTTGGATTGCACCTGCATTCACTGTGACTTGTGAACAGGGCTAGCCTGGCATAGAGGTTAGAAAGCCGGGCTGGGTTCCAGGAGACCTGGGTTCAAAGCTCTACTCTGTCACAAAGCTTGCAGGGGAACCATGGACCAGGCAACCTTCTCTCAAGACTAGTCTACCTCGCAGGGCTGTTGTGAGGCTGAAATAGGGAAAGGAGAACCTTTTCCATGGCCCTAGGCCCTCCGCATTGAAATGTACTGGCTAGATGTGATCCTGTTGTCATAACACTGGGACGTAAGCAGCCAGGAGAGGTGGCACAGCAGGAAACAGAAGGCAAAGGAATCAGAAGCACAGGCCAAGGGGGACCAGGCAGACAGGCGGGTACTAAGACCATGCGGTCCGGCAACCTGACAGCCACAGCCGTGTTGCTGAGGTCTGCAGCCCTCCCAAGTCAGGGCTGCCCAGGTGGGTGGAATCCTTGCAGAGCCAGGAGCAGCACACTGCAGCGAAGGCTGAGCTCGTCCACATGAATCGGACAGCTCAGAGGCTTCTGGTTTGAGCCCCACACTCCTGAACTCCACAGGGCGGGGGTGGGCGGGTGGGCAGAAGAGCCGAAGGCCACGGGACTCTCTCTCCCCCGCCCCCGGGACCAGAGCAATGACAGCTGCAGAGCCTGGGCCCCCCGATCCAGGGTCCCAGATTAGGTGGTGGTCTCCTGGGAGTTACTTTGGGGCCAAGACAGAACTTCTATAAAGAAGCAAGGTGGTGGCCTCGAGCCACAGATTTTGGGGGGGGCTGGAGTGACTCAACTGACTCCCCTCGATTACCTTGCCTTCAAGCACCCCTTCCCTGGGTCTGCCAACACTTTCCCTTTAAGCACAGTGCAGAAAACTGTGCTCGGAGAACAGGGGTTCCTGAACGCTCACGGGGTGAGGGGCAGGGCGGGACAGAATGCTAATCCAAAAGGTAAGGCTGCAGGTATGCAGTCTGGGAAGTGCCTCGGTTTGTTCCTGCCAGCTCATTGGCTAGAGAGAGGTTTACTGAGAATTCTCCCAAAGAGCTCACAAAGACCAAGTCAAGTGGGTTTGCCCATGACTAGCCCCAATGGGGCCCTTCCTTTAGAGGCTCTGAGGATTATACAGCCAGGCATGGGAAGTGCTTTGAACACCAAAAATGTAACACAGACGCCGAGTGTTGTTATCTGTCAGAGCAACGTACCTTTGCAATCTGCGGGATGCTCGGTAGCTTGCTAAGCCCTGCTAAGGGGATTCTTTCATGTAACGTCTTTGCTTTTGACCTAAGAAAGGTTAAAAAAGAAGGAGAAGAAGAAGAAGAAGATGGAAAAGAAAAATGACAGAGAACGAAGGAAATAAGCCATGATGGCGCTAGGATGTCTCTGGACTCTGATGATAACACAGAGACACACAAAATGTGGATTGTTTCTGTAGAATTCAGCATGGGGAGCTTTGCCAGCCATTTGGAAATGATACTTTGCAACACACTCAGAGGATATTTCGTAATCTCTGTTATGGCTGCCATCTCCCCAGCTTCTCCGCTTTTCAAAAAAAATCACTCCCCCCCCCCCCTTTTTGCTTGGAGACTAAGAGGATAAGTCAGGCACCAGGCTTTCATTGGTCTACAGAAGGCACAGCGCTTAATGTGATTGATACTTCCCAATAACCTGGCAGAGAGTTTGTCTGGTTTCTTTGGGCTTGGCTGTAGATCAAGCAAATAATGCACATTAACAAAGCAATCTTGAAGCACCAGGCTCAGAGTCCAGAAACAGATCTTGAGCGAAAAAATCTGTGCACGCAACTATACCCGTTTCTCCCTGCCACTGCATACTGCCTCTGAGGATCCAGTTTAGCCACCCTTGTTTCCTTTCTCTCTCTTCCCACTCCCTGAAGTATCCCCCAAATCTACAGGACCCTTCCCTTCCCTTTCTTACCTACCAGGACTCCTAATGTTGTGGAAGAGACGGTGGGCGGTCTCTGTGCTTTAGGCTCACCATTTATGCACTCATAGCAAGTAACCCCCCACCCTCACCCCCAGTCTCCCACCCTTGAGAAATTGAAGGGTGGAGGGGGGAAATGGCCAGAAAATGGTCTCCACAGTGGCGCTGTAGGAACGTCCTCATCATGTCTCTGTGGTCTTCTCAGCTGAGACCAGGGAAAACACCTGGAAGTGACATCACATCCTCTCCAAGCTCCACCCTTTCCAGCGATCACCCTCAAAACCTCCTGGCGTCTGCGGAGGCAGTGCTGGCAACTCTACACTGGTTGTGGTTCAACAACCACTGCGACACCTGGGCAAACTCCCCTGCTTCCCGTGGCTTTAGTGGATGCAGAGCGTGGCACAGACTTGTCCTTGGGCTCCTCTGCACACTGCCCAGACTCCACCTCAGCAGGAGGGATGAGAAGAGGCCCTGGGACGGAGGCAGTTCTCTCACTTCTGCTTCCACCTTTACTGCTCGGCACTCTGCTCACTGGGAACTGGGAGCATCTCCACGCGAGGGGAAAGGGCCTTTGCTAGGCCATAGGCTTGGGGGCATGCCTGTCCATGCAATCCCCAACGTTGTCCTTGCTGGTGCCCAAGGCCAGTGTTGCCATTAGGCCAACTAGGCAATGGTCTCGTGCGCAGACCACAGAGGGGAGCAGAACTGACAGTCAGCATTGGGGTGTGAAATCTGTCACACATCTATCAGGTGTAAATTTTCTAGTAAAAAAGGAGGAAGTTGAGGCACACAGTGTGAATCCTCCTGTCATCAATCCTCCAAAGGTGAATTCTCTTTGCAATTGGCTAGAACAGAACTGGCAGTTAGCAGGAGAGGGGGGGGGAGTCAAATTGGGATGTCCTAAAAGGAGTGACAGGATTGCCCACTGGAAACAATGGGAGAGGCTTGAAGGCCCACTGGAACGGATGGGAGCCAGGAATGGCAAGTGACTTGCATGGGCTCCACTGGAGAGTTGCACAGACAAGGAAGAATGGATTTCCCATTAAGGTCTCTGGGCCCAAACAGACTTCTCTGGGACTGGAATAGGGCTGCCAGGTCTCCTGGTAAATCTAGCGGGGGAATTTGGGGGACATTCTGGGGGGCTGGGGATGCCCCAAGCCCCACCCTCAAGCCATGGCAACCCCTCCCTGCTAAAAGATTTAAAGGGCTCCAGCTGATCCACAGGGAGCACGTGGCCGGCTGACCAGCTGAAGGGCCCCTTGAATCTTTTAACAGGGAGGGTGAGGGTCTGTCACTGGCCACAGCTCCAACGGCAAAAAGACCACTTAAAGGGTCTTTCTGCTGGGGTGTGTGGGGTGTGTGTGGCACATGTGGGGCTCCTTTCCCAGCAGCCATTTGCCACTTGGGACCTACACGCTGCCATCCCACTCTCAAGCCAGGCTGTTGGACTGGAATGAAAGGCCCCAAAGTGGAATGACAGCCTCTGGGAGTAGCCGATGTGTTCTGGGACCAGAATGACAGCCCCTGGGGGTAGCTGATGTGTTCTAGGACTGGAATGACAGGCCCGAGAGTGGAATGACAGCCCCTGGGGGTACTAGATGTGTTCTGGGACAGGAATTACAGGCCACAGAGTGGATGACAGCCCCTGTGAGTAACAGAAATGTTTTAGGACTGGAATGACAGACTTGAGAGTGGAGTGACAGCCCCTGAGAGTAAAAGAAGTGTTTCAGGACTGCAATGAGAGGCCCCAGAGTGGAATGACAGCCATTTGTGAGTAGCAAATTCTATGCCTTCACAAGGAGTACTTCTCTTCATTCTGCAACAAAAACTCCTAGATAGTATGCCTAATGTTTCTGTTGCTCTAAGAATCCTTCACACACTTCCAGTATCAGTGGCAAGTGGTGAACCCAGTCTCTCAAAACTCAAACCTACAAAAGTGTGCATACACTCAACAATGCTGCAAAAGAGACTACTTGCTTTGGCAACTATATCAATTGAACATGCCAAAGCATCAGCACCTGATCTGAAGGAACGGGTGAAAAAGTTTGGCACACAAAATGAGATTTTGATGTGCCTGAAATGGAAACATCCAAGAGACTTAAATTTTAACCTCACAGTTCACAGGATTATTCAAAATGATTTCTGATTTGTGTGCTAAAACTGTTGTATGGTTGAGAAAGAAAATCAAAGATTGTGGTGTTACTTATTCTTGCATTTAAAAAAAAAAGCAATTTTAAGTTCTGTGCTTTCACAACCAAGTGAAAATTTAACTTTAAAAAAAATCCTTTATGAAACACACTACTGAAAATGGCCACGTTGAGAATCAGCCTCCTTTCCTGTTTGCCATACCTGAGTATAATCCGTAGGTATTCAATCCCATCTGCCTCTTCGCATTTAACAGAGAGGATCAGATTTCCCAAGCTGCTGCCTGTGCAGTAAAAATTCAGATGATCCTAAGAATAGAACGAAGGTGTTAGTGGGGCAGGAGGCAGGCGGAGGGAACATCGCTCTCTTGATCCCTGCTCTCCTGACTCTCTCTTCAGTGCCAGCCCCTCAGCACCCAGAAGGAATCACCGGTGACCAGGGCTTTTTTGGTAGAAAAAGTCCAGCAGAAACTCATTAGCATAATAGGTCACACCCAGAAGCAGAAACTCATTAGCATATTAGGCCACACCCCTGATTGCACCGCTCATTGGCACATTAAGCCGCACCCACATGTTGCCAGAAGTGTGGCCATCCAGCCACACCCACCTTTTGCTTCTTATTCTGTTTACCTTGTTTGTGGTCAAAACCCAGGGCCTTTTTTTGTAGCAAGAACTCCTTTGCATGTTAGGCCACACACCCCTAATGTAGCCAATCCTGATGAGTTTCTGATGTTGGGTGTGGCCTGTTATGCTAATGAGTTCCTGCTGGGCGTGGCCAACTTGGGAGCCAGCCGGAACTCCGTTCCTGCCCAAAAATAGCCCTGCCGGTGACTCATCTTCAGAAGTGGTTTAAGAATATCTTGCAAATACGCACCCGCTGTGAATCTCAAAAGCAGTTGTTACTTACACTTGGCTCAGAATATTTAATCTTTGCTGCCTGAGTAATTAGCTAGGTGTTGAGTCCCAGCATCTTGTCCCTAACTGCCGGGGGCAGCCTGAAGTTCCTAGTCTTTGTTCAGTATCAGGGTCCTGAGTTTTGTCTTTTGGGAATTCCTTGTTTCTGTGGGTTAACTATTGCTGCTGGCATTCTTCAAGGCTCAGCCCCTTCCCCAGAGGTTCAGCCTCTGAGTGTATGGGTGCATACATCTTGTCTGCTGTGGTGCGCATGCACACATAAATGCCCAGACATGTACACAAGTGGCCAGTGGTTTTGTTCAGGACTTTTGTTTTTCAAAGAGACCTTTAACAAAAAGAGACATCACAACATTACCTTTGAAAATGGTGTAGGATACACTGGAACCACAGGTCTTTGGCTATGTGCATGCGTATTGGCTATGTGAAGGGGCTCTGGTACCGATCTTTAGTATAAGATCGGTCTCTACTGTCATCTGAGAAACATTGTGGAAAGGTGTGCAAATGTGCTTTGCAACAACATGGGTAGACAGAATATGTAGTTACACCATACTTAAGGATGTGTTCCAAATCAGTCTAGAAGAAGAAGAGATTGGATTTATACCCTGCCCTTCACAAAGCCAAAGGAGTCTCAGAATGGCTTACAATCGCCTTCCCTTCCTCTCCCCACAACAGACACCCTGTGAGGCAGGTGGGGCTCAGAGAGCTGTGAGAGAACTGTGACTGACCCAGGGTCACCCAGCTGGCTTCATGTGGAGGAGTGGGAAACAAACCCGGTTCTCCAGATTAGAGTCCACCGCTCTTAACCACTGTACCACAGCTGGCTCTCATAAGTCTTCTGCAGTCCATATAATTATTCCTCAATGACTCAAGTCTGAACTGAGCTGAGGGGAGTTCACCCATCACTGCTGACCACAGAGTAGCCCCAGTCTTTCGCCCTCCCCTGCTCAACACAACAGACATCTCAGTAGTTTAATGTCCATGAATCAAACCTCTTTCCTATAACCATTGAAAAACTAACAACTGCTCACTTTTGAAACTGAATTGATACTCAGTGGAAACATGTGATCACCAGCGTTCAACATGCATAGCAGCAGAATTACATTTAGCATGTTTGCAGGGCCGGCCCAAGGTGTTTCTGCACCCTAGGCGAGGCCAGCTTGTGGTGCCCCCCAGGCAATGCCAACCTCCCAGTGGGGCCTGGAGACCTCCCAGAAACACGCCCGGGAGGGGGGGCACTGGGTGCCACAAGCTAGCCTCGCCCCCTGCCCGGGCCCACCATCGAGGGGCTGGCTGGCCGGCCGGCCTCACCTTGCCTTTCAGGTCAAGGATGAAGACAGCGGAGGCGGACATGGCTAGGGCCGGACCTCCTGCTGCTGTGGTGGGCTTCTTCCTCCTCCTCCTCGGTTCCTCTCCAGGTCTCTGGGGGGGGGGGGAGGAAAGGCGAGCACCCTCATGGGAGGACCCAGCTGGAGCAGCTCCGTGGCCTCTCTCCCCTCCCCCCGGGCTCCTCGGCGACAAACGCAGTGTCACGCTCGGGCTTGAGGGAGGGGTGGGGCTGAAGTTCCTTCTGCACTGCACCATGGTTCCAGCCCAGGGTAGGGCCAGCACACATGCGAATACAGGAGAACCACAAACCACGCAGGACTGCAACAAAGCTCACAGGTTGGGTCGATGGTCCCCACCCTGTGAACTCCACTTCATGGAAATCGATCCTTACTGTCAGTAAACTTTGTTTCCACTGGAGAGCAGTTTCTCTGTGAGCATTCCTTCGGCTAGGCAAGCCACATTTTCCACCAGGAAGACCAGACTGGCTCTCCAGTGCAGATGCAAAAAGAGAGAGGAAAAGGACCCCCTGAAAGTGACACGCAGAAGAGCCTGTGGACGAGAGTCTGCTCTCTGCAAAACATTTCCAAGTGTGACAGGGCTTGACTGCGAGCAAATAATGGGCCCTTCATGCTCCCTCTAAGCTGTGGAGTCCTGTGAGCAAAAATTCTACTTTGTGAACTCCTGACATTAAAGTTGTGAGCGAGCAATTTGGCCGCTGCATCAGTGAGTTTGCTCTGGAGCCCTCCTTCCTGAGCTGAGGCGAAAAATGTGTGAGCCAGAGGCTAAAAAACTCACACTGACTCAGCTTAGAGGGAACACTGCAGTCAGCAGCCTCTCTCGTGCGCACACAGGAAGGCTGTCTGTGATTCATGTCTCACTGACCTTTCCAAAGAAATGCTTCCTGTATGCCCTGGCTTCACCTTTGCATTCCAGCTTATGCCCGTAAGCCCTGGGGCTAGGGTGCTCTTCCTCTTCATCGCAGATGCTGCTGTCCGACGAGGTGGGGGTGCCGAGATTCTCTGGGTCTTCAATCCAGTAGCCTCCAAACTGAGGCAAGATTATTAAGGGGAAGGGAGCACCTTTCTCTAAAAACTAAGCAACAAACGGAATCATGTAACAGCGGCTGGCACACAGTGCTTGAATCTTTATTCTATCCACCTATCAAGCTCTTATCTTGCCCCTCCTCCAAGTAGCAGTACTGTTGTTTCTCTCTATCTTCGTTTTTAATTACAACAGCCCTCTGAGGTAGGCTAAGCTGGCAGAGAGCAATCGGCCCAAGGTCATCTAGTAAGCTTGATGGATAAACTGGGGTCTCAGCCCTGTTCTCCCCAAGTCTTCTCTGATAAAAATGAACTTTGAAGCCCAAGATAAAATCATGAATCATAAAACTCTGAATATTTACTAAACATTGAACTTCAGTTATCATTGAAATACAAGCGATTTTTAAAAGGTCAAACAAATCACAATGTAACAATCAGTAACCATTCTCTGCTCTGGTTAAACCTCACCTAGAGTATTGCATTCAGTTTTGGGCACCACAATTTAAGAAGGATATAGACAAGCTGGAAGTGTCCAGAGCAGGGCAATGAAGATGTTGAGAGGTCTGGAGACCAAGTCCTATGAGGAAAGAAGTACATTATACATGCTGCAAGTGCAAGCTTATAAGAATGTTTGAGGACAAGATGGGAGAACTCGAGGCACAAATCCATACACTGAGGAACATCAGGGAGGCAGAAAGCATTTTAGACATGAAGGAAGAGGGGCTCCTGAGAGAACGGCAAGAGCCAGCAAATCCTGAGCAAGAGGAAGGAAGTAACAAGGAACAGGTGGGTGAGTGGAAGAATGTGACCTTGAGGAATAAGGTAATCAGGAAACACTCACAGTGGAGCTGCAAGATCACTACCAGCCGCTTCTAATGGTGGAAGATCAAAACAGCACACTCCGAGATCGAAAGGATGTAACCGACACACATGCAGATAAGCAGAGAAGGAACCAAGCTATCCCACTGAGGAAGAGACGAGTAGTGGTGGTTGGTGACTCCCTACTGAGAGGGATGGAAGAAGGAATCTCGAGAGGTTTGTTGTCTTCCTGGAGCATGTATCCGAGATGTGACTGAGAGCATTCCAAGATTGGTCAAAACCTCTGACCACTACCCACTCCTGCTGATCCAAAGAAACCTTGAATGGATCTCCAAAGACTACGAGGCTCTGGGCAAGAAGGTGGAAGATCTGGGGGCACAGGTGGTGTTCTCCTCCATTTTACCTGTTAAGGGCCATGGAGCTGGAAGGGAGAACAGGATACTGGAGGTGAATGGCTGGTTACGTAGATTGTGCCGTCGAGAGGAATTTGGCTTCCTGGACCATGGTATGTACCTCCGACATGAGGGACTGTTGGCGATGGATGGGGTGCACCTTACAAAAAATGGGAGGAATGTCTTTGCTGGAAAACCTGATCAGGAGAGCTTTAAACTGAAGCCATCGGGGGTGGGAAGAAGAAGCCTGATGTTGTGCAGCATCCCCAACACTAAGTTCAAGAAAGGGAGGGACCAGAGAATAAATGAACAGGAGAGAGGTGAGTTCAGTAATTTTCAGGTAAATTCAAAGGGACCTATGGTAGGAAGGATGTCTGTAATCTGAGATGTCTCTATACTAATGC